TTGTACCTTCATTCCCCAGTAGTTAGCACTCTTACGAGTACTTCAAAGTACTTGGTTAATTAAGGAGTGTACTCGTGTACCTCAATTTTCACTAAGTTTTTTGGTATTTCCCCTCCAGTAGTAAGCCTCACTCTTAGAAATACTTGTGTTTTAGCGAGTTGGCGATTATTTGTGTGTGTGTAGGATTCTACGGACTTTGTACTGTGTATTTATTATTGTATATTTTGTTACATGTACCCACACGATACGTGCGCGCGGGTACGATTACGATTACGTTATCTTCGTACGGTACTGCACTTACTGTATTTTCCTCCTTGAACCTAACAGCCTCCGGTAACGATGCAACAACCATCGATCAGCAAGGACAGCAACAAACGGACGCAACAATCAGGATTTTTTATTTTTTACGGTAACAGGTACGTACGAACCGTACAGATCTAGGTTCTTGAGCATCTTCGTTCGTTACTTTACACCTACGTAGGGTACATACATAGGACGAGTACGAGTAGGTTGTGCCGTTCGGATCTGTCCGTCGCTACGAGTACGTACTCGTACCAGATATTCGTTCTCGTCCTCGTCGTCCTCCATTCGCAGAAAGATTACGTACCATACGGTACGAACGTTACGGTATGTCGGAATTTCATATTTTTCAGTTCTCGGCAACTACGAGTTACGAAACTTGTTTTCTGGTACTTACGGTATGGTACAGGTAGGGGTACTCGTACGTTCCTGGTAGTTACGTACCGTACTGTACTCGTACCATTTCGTATGCAGGGGGCAGGGGGCTCTAAATTATGACCCCTGTTCGTATGTTCATATTTCGTATTTTCAAAACACAGAGAATAAAATACGGTAGTATGTATTGATACGCATGGGTCATATGATCAATATTCATCCATCCTACGTGACGAAGCACAGACAAAGTTTATTGTGCGGTCACGTAAGATTCACCAGGACCAAATACCAATGCCTTCAAACGGTAATACCCTACCGTACGTACTCATACTTGTACGTACGGTGCCGTTTACTCTATCGGATATGCAATAGAAACAAGCGTCGAGAGCGATGGGTACGAGAACGTAGTGAAGCTCTGGCACTCCACACTGGTACATCAAACATCGCTACGAGTTTGAAGACCAAAATCAAGACGATCATTCCAAACCTTTGCCAACGGGAAGCAAATACGCGACTAGGAGCCAGCCATTTAGCCTGCTATTGAAAAATACCACATCAATCGTTATTGTAGCATTGTCCGCCAAGGTCGAACGGTTACTGGTAGAAGCAATCGGACGTTGCCATCTACAAATATCTTTTGACTCTATTGTGGTACTAGTGACCGTTCTCCGTGGTGCTATATCATATCAGGGATAGGCATCTGAGGTATTTCAAGGTCATTGAGATATTGATTTAGTTATACGTTCACTTGCTGGAGGTACATCAGTATTCTTTGAAATACTGAAAGTGAGATCACCATCGACATCAGAATTGATCAAAGAGCCGTGAATAATAAATAAAGAAGTAAAATTGAAAGCTATTGACGATGAGTGGTAGACGCAGCATCGAAGACGAAGACGACGATGGAATCTTTGACGAAGACGATAGCAGCGATGATGAGGAAGTAGCAGCACCGAAAAAATCAGTGAAAGCCAAGAAACGGAAGGCGGGCGATTCGGAGAAACCTTCGAAAAAGGCCAAATCCTCGATGAACTCCTGGATTGACGATGCAGCCGAGGAGTCTGGAGAAGAAGGCGGCGACGATGATGACGAAGAGGAAGATGAGGAGGGAGAAAATGACTACATCAAGGATGACTTTGTCGTCGACGATGATAATATCGAGATGAAGGCGCGTAGGAAGAAGACTGGAGATCTGGAAGATTCCGACGACGACGACGATGACGACGACGATGACGACGACGACGATCAAGGGGGAAGAAAGAAAAAGGCACGCAAAATTCGCAAGTTTCGCCAGCAAGAAGAACTCGCTGACGAGGATCTAGATCTTATTCGAGAGGCTCAAGGTATCGATCTAGAGAAGGAGCGAATGCGTAAGGAAAGGGAGGAACGCGAAAATAGAAAGGTCATTGCACGATCGGAAGAAGATCTCAGAAAGGGTCTTTTTCGCGACTCTGACGGGGAAGACGACGATGACATTATGGCGCAACCCAAAAGAAAAATTCGAAGCAATATCGAACATTATGATGAGCATGGAATGGACGATTTCATTGAGGATGACATTGGTGATCAACACGACATTCTTACCAGTGATAGGGGGAATTTTGTCGGGGAGGATGGTGCAGGTGGTGTCAGCCAGGCTCAAATGAATGAAGCATCCGAGATTTTTGGTACTGATTATCTCAATTATATCGCCGAAGAGGATGATCGTGACGATGATGACGACGATGACTTATTTGGAAAAAATCGATACAAAGAACGCGGGGTGGGCGTGGACATGGGAATTGATTCAGAAGACGATATGTCCTCGGATGATGACGACATGTTTGGAGAAGACGATGACGACGAAATGTCAGGACAACAAAGAGAAGCTCTCAAACTAAAACGAGAGAAACGGGCTCTCGCTCGCAAAGAGCGACGCAAACAGGCTTTGGCCAAAAAGATTGCCAAACAAAAGGCTGACCTCCGTAAGCAGTTTGAACCTGTTCAACTGGTTGAAAACTTCTGTACCGATCGCGATGACGAAATTAGGCAAAAAGACGCTCCTGAAAGATTTTTTGATTGGAACGTTCCTTTTCATGGAAGCAAAGAAGGTGGCGAACTCACGGAAGACGAAGAGGAAGAAGTCATGTGGATTATGCAAAGGATCCCAGAAATTCGAGCTGAATATAGGGCGCCATACGAAAACATGGAGGAACTTGAGCAGCGTGAGTCTTCCATCCTTCAGTCCATTGCACACGCTCTTCGATTTATGCACAGAGACAAAATGGAGCCTGCTTTCATCAAGCGATACCGAAAGGATATTATAACCTCACCGGCAGTTCGAAATAACCTTTATCGCATCATGGATGAAGATGCTGAATGGGATGAATTGCTTCAGGCCCGCGCCAAGGTTAGTGATTTGTTGGATTCTGTCACTGAAAAGGCCAGAAAGGTCGAGGCAACTGGAGCTATATCAGTGGAAATAAACAAACTCGACGAAGAATTCACAAAGGCTCAAGCAAAACTCGAAAAGATAGCTACTGAAGAAGCTCAACTGAAGGAAGAAATCGAACAGATTGGTCCAATTGACGAAGCCATCAAAGAGGAAGATGACGACGAATTATTTGGCGATAAAGACGATGACGAGGCCGAGGTACGTTGTAAAGCCGTAGTACTATATTTATTGAATCGGAAATCTCTTTGTTTCTCATCGCTCACAATAAACAACGTCTGATGGTTTCTTACAGGCAATGAAAGCGAAGAGAGACAAAAAGGCCAGTCTCACCAAACATCTTGATACTGTTCAGACGCTGATGGAAAGCCTTTCAGAAAAAGTGACTGAGTTGCAAACCAAGAAGGAAAGTGCCGAAACTGAAGACGCAGAAAGTGCCGTAAAAGATGATAGCGAGCTTGCAAATCGAGTGCAAAAGAAGACTTGCAGAGATATGTTATGGAATACTCAAGATGTTATGGAATACCTTTGTGGACTTGAAAACGAGCATCAGATCAGAGATGTTAACAATTATCTGAAGCTTATCAAGGAAGGTAATGATGCCATTTATAAAAAGGAAATGCCATTCCTTGGGGAAGAAGATGGGAGAGAGAAGAAGAAAAGAAGTCGACGTTTTGATCGAGACTTTTATCGGACTTGTGTGTCTGAGGGACATCGTGATATCGCCTACAGATTTCTGCTTGCGCCCAAAAGAGTCGGAATCAAGCTTCAAGACACCGTTGAAACCGGTCAATTCAACTTCTCAAAGGCAATGCCCGGTGAAACTGATGGTGAGCCGATGAAATGGGTGCCGCCCACTATCACGGACAAACTTCCATCAGAATTTGCAACTGAGTTGGTAGATAGCGGGGAACTTATTGATTTGTCTTCGATGGGAGCGGATGCTGGATCTGGAAAAAGTTCAGATCCATTGCGGGGATGCCGATATGTTGCTGCATTGGAACTTTCACAGGAACCGCGTGTCCGTAGAGTCCTGAGAAATATATACAAGAAGCACGCTAAGCTGACAACCCGTCCAACCAAGAAGGGTATGGAAGAAATTGACGCATTTCATGAATATTTCGGGTTGCAGTTGATTCACAGCAAGCCTATTGCTGATCATTTCCCACCTGATGAAGATGAAATGAACCAAAAGAAACTAGGTCGAGGGCCAGAGGAATGTCGAGAAATAGATTCGGAGATGAAGGAAAAAGAAAGGAATAGTTGTCTGCAATATTTGAATATTTACAAGGGAGATAAGACAGGACATCTCTCGGTTTCTATTCACTTACCTTTTCTCGATGACTTTGGTACGGAATGGTACAAGGCAGACGAAAATTTTACCGATCGACAAAACCAGGATTTGAAGCCCCTTATGGATGTACTTGAGAAGGTTTATTTCCCTCTGGAACCCGACTCGCAAGAATGGACTCAGGAGAGAAAGAAGGTTTTATCCCAAGCCTTGCTTACCTTTCTCTTACCTCAATTTGAAGCAGAAACTCGCAAAGATCTCGAAGAAGCGGCATTTCGAATCGGTGTGACAGCTGCTGCTGAAGACCTCCATGGAATGGCGATGGAAGGTCCATATCGCCCGCACTCGTTCTATGCTGAGAATCGTTTCCTAGTTCCAACCGGTGACCTCCGAATGGTTGCAATTTCATGTTCGAATGATCCCAAAGAACCAACATATCTTGCATCTGTATCTGAATATGGGGAATTCATTGACCATCTTGCGATACCAGGGGGTGTTCGTGTTGATATCGGAAAAATGAGACAGAAAATTATCGATTTTCTTCTCTTATCCCGTCCGGCAGCAATATTGGTGGGTACATCAGGAGGGTTTCAGGCCCGTCATCTGTGTCGCAAATTGAACGACATCGTTACTGAAGCAACAGACCGATGGGCAAAGAGGGACATCCAAGGGGAAGATGAAGATGACGAAGATTTCCAGTATCGACAGTCTGCCTTTGATAAATATCTTCCATCAAATATGCCTGGTATGGATGAGGATGACGACGAGGATCTTGATTGGAAGTGTAACGCTGACTTGATCGATGATTCCGTATCTCAAGTATTTGGACACAGTCCCCGGGGAAAGAAAGAATTTCCAGATCATGCGCCGGCGCTTCGAGTCGCCATTTCTATTGCTCGTTACGGAAAAGACCCACTCGCGGAACTTGCGTATGCATGGAATGTAGCAAGCGACACTGGTCTTTTTGGTACTGAGTTGTTCTACTTTAACATCAATCCGATGCAACAATTGTTGAAAAGGTTCAAAGGGCCCTTGCTTCTTCGGCATTATGAACGTGCTCTGTGTGATGTTGTCGCAGAAGTAGGTGCCGATGTGAACAAATGTTGCGAATACAGTCATCTTCAAGGACTTCTGACCTTTGTTCCTGGCCTTGGCCCACGAAAAGCGGCCTTCCTGAAACAAAAAGTAGAACAGCTTGGAAGTTCAGTTCCAACAAGGCGTTCACTGCTGGAAAATCGTTTCATGGGTCCTGTGGTCTACAATAACTCAATTGCGTTTTTACGAATTCATCACTTCGATGAACGTACTAGTCATCAGGTTCAACTGCACCCTTTAGATAATACAAGGCTTCATCCAGATGTATATCAGAAAAACAATTGGGCGTCGAAAATTGCAACTGATGCGCTCGAGCGCGCAGAAGAAGGGTCGAGGAATAAGGAGCAAGCAGGTATCAAAGCGCTTCGTGATGTTATGGAAAACTCTGATCAAGAGATTCAACGACTATATATGGGAACAAAGGAAGAGTGGGAGATGCACTATGGGGTGGGCACTTTCAATGCATCAAACTGGAACCCCAGAACCGATGTTCCTGTCGAGCATTGGCATGATAAGGTAGAAGAACTCGACCTTGATACCTACGCACATATGATCGAAGAAAATGGTCACGGAAAATGGCATTCTCACATGGAAATGATCAAGTGGGAATTCCGTCTACCATTTGTTGATCCTAGAAGTCCTATGGACACTCTTGCGGGGGACAAACTTTTTAGGCTAATCACTGGAGAAAGTGATCAAACATTGCGTCCTGGAAAAGAAATAACAGGAAAAATATTAGCCAATACCGATTTTGGATCCAAGGTAAAGCTTGAGGGTGATTTACCGGCCTTTATATCCCTTCGGAATTTGGCTGATGACCACGTCGAAGCCGCTGAAGATGTGGTTGCAGTTGGCGCCATCGTTACTGCTGTTGTTACCGCAGTGAAGAAGGATCACATGAGTGTTGACATGAGTTTGAAAAGGGAAGACTTTATAAAGCAACCAAGCTCGTGGGACCGACCAGAATCTCTTCCAGTCCTTGATGAATATTTTGATCAGATTGCATCGAAAACAATAGAGGAGAAAAAGACTAAAGAGAGAGAAGCCCGTCTTGAGGCTATGCAAATCTCACTCTCAACTAAGGTTGGTGAGGACGGCAAGCGAATTGGCCGTGTTGTGCGTCGACATTGCGCACACCCAGCATTCCGAAATGCGAAAGGGAATGAGCTAGACGAAGAATTGAAATCAGGAGGGCCTGCGATGGTAGGCGAAGCCTTGATACGCCCAAGTAGCAAATCGGCAGATTCTCTAGCAATTCATTGGATGTACAGTGAAGGTAAAATAAAGATAATCGAAGTCAATGAAGAAAAGAAAGATCTCGATGCAAGCATTGGAAAGGTACTCAAGATCAAAGGTGAATCCTATGGAAGTATTGATGAGTTGATGGGGCGATATATTGCACCATTAAACGACCTTGTCGACGAGCTTGTAAATCATAGAAAATTTTCAGAGCTCTCTGAAGACGATCTGGACGATCAGCTTCGAAAGGATAAAGCTGCCAATAAGAATTCCATTCCCTACAATATTTGTTGGATGGAGATGCATCCGGGATATTCATCTCTCAGATTCATTTTGAGTTCTACTCCCCGGCAGCATCCCATTGGAATGTGCCCGAATGGATTTGTTTGGGGAGCGAAAACTTTCAAATCTCTCGATCTCCTCTTAAATGACTTCAAGAAAAATCCTCGGGGAACTCCCACCAACAAACAAAGAGCTCCGCCCCCAGCGGCGTCTTCTGGATCAACTTCAAAAACTTCTCGATGGGGAACAAAGCGTCAGCATCCCCCACCAAGAGAGCCACCCCCACCTTCGACATGGAATCGGCCTCCTCCTCCTCCAATGGCTGCAACAGGCGCTGCATATGGTCAGCCTCCTCCGCCATCTGGTCCGCTTCCACCATATGGAAGACCCCCCCCACCTTCTGGTCCGCCGCCACCTTACGGGAGACCCCCACCTCCTTCTGGTCCACCGCCCCAATATCACGGCAATCAATATTCATATCAACAACCTCCGCCACCACCGTACAACAATTAATCATACAATGAATTTAAATGAGACGGAATAAAGAGAAAGCTATGGAATGCGAGCGAGACTTCGTTACTGTATGAACGGATGGATGGTGCCAAAATATTTATTGTTATTTGTAAAAAATGATACTGGGTGATTCCCATTGTTATTGAAGTAATAACTGGGCTAGTCTAGCGCATATTACATTTATAATAACGGAAATTAAATTTTCCACGGACAGACTGCAGGGAATGCTCGCTTGATGCCAGTCTATTTGGGAATTTGGAATCTTAACTATACTTCAACATAACGACTAAAAAGAGGCCTCTTTGGAAGAAAAACATGAAATTTTCAATCCTACCGCATGATACTACAACTACTAGTAGTAAAACGAACAAATGAATTTCTGACACTCACATAGTATCAAAAAAAAAATTTTCCTTATACTATTACTGTAGACCATAATTTCCTTCTAGCAAAAAGGAAGGCTGCAACAATGGGAGTCATGGAGACCATTGCAATGTACATTCAGTTGAATGACTAAGAGCAAGCCCAAAGTTATTGTAAAAAGCAAAGTTGAGAAAATAGGCCCAGGAGGGACAAAAAAACACCCCAACTTGCAATCTGTAGATATGCTCAATCTTCCTTCCACCATCTCTTCTACTCAGGAATTGATCAAGCACTCATTGACTGGTGCTTAGGTGTATACCACAAGGTATTCAGGAGAGAGCTCCTTGCGGTCTTTGCTCCAGTTTATGACAAGTACACTGTCAACAACAACAACAACAACAACAACAACAACCATAGTCATCGTCATTGTCATCGTCATTGTCATCCTCATTGTCATCGTCATTGTCATCCTCATTGTCATCCTCATTGTCATCCTCATTGTCATCCTCATTGTCATCCTCATTGTCATCATGATCATGTACAACAAGTGGCACAAGTTTTCCAGGAGAGTGCTCCTCCTTCTTGTCCTTCACAAACATCCACTTGCCATGCTGGTCAGTATTCCAAATGAGCACAAAGTGGATGATTGTGGGACAGTAATTTGAAGTAAGTATCCGTAAATTGGAGAACAATGTGTTTTAGGCTGCAGCTGATGGATTGAAGAACATTAGTGAAGCCTCTGAAGACTGGTAAAAACAGAGACCATTCTACAACACCTGGAAAGAAAACACCTTCATCAATAGGGTGCTTGTCTTTGCGTCTGGTGGAACAATCAGGATCTCAGTCTTCACTGCCCTGGTACCTGGCATGATGGTGCTTTCTCTGATGATGGTGTCTACCAAAGGATTGAGGAGGTTTATGGGCTTTTCAATGCTAAGAATGTGGTGCATTCTGTCCTTGCACTGAAGGAAAAGGAGCATATACTTGCCAAGATTTCACAGAAGGGCCCCGAGAAGGACAACCTTCTTCTGTTGGATAGGAATGCAACATCCTTGAGACAGATGTTAGAATTGGGGACAGGGATGATAGAAGGAAAGTATAGAGCAATGAAAGACTGGATGCTCTTGGAAGAGCTTTGAGAGGGGAGTATCATCATGAAATTGTTGGTCAACTTGCATAACTTTGAGTGCAGTACAAGAATCAGACACAACCAGATCCTTTCAGTGTTCACAAAAATCCAATGTTCATGAAAATCCAAGAAACAACTACTAGAAACAATGTGCTGTATGAAAAAGAGGAGCTTGAAGGAGGCTTCTTCCATGTAGGATGTGGGGTATTCCTGGATATGAATGAGTTGTTTTGAGGGTGAAGAATTAATAAATCACATGGTCAATTGGTTTAGTTTACTCTCTCTGGTTATTTGAAAAGAGAGCCATTAAGTTAGGATCACAAATCAACAAAGCAACACAGATACAATGATATCAACAAACCAGTAAATTGATATGACAAAGCAACAAACTGATTCATCAACACAGCATCACTCACAACAGGCTCCCTAAAAGTGGAAGAAAGCAATCATTGGTTTCATTAAGGTGTCTTTAGTATTTGGTTTAATCATCAACACTGTTCTTACAATGGGGGGGATTTTGAAATAATGAAATACAAGATACAGTATTTCTTGGTACAGTATTTTAGTATCAGTTTTCATGTGGTAACAATTCCAGGAATAACTTGTTACATCACTATTCAGCACCTGCACAATCAGGATTAGAAGGCATTGCATTGTTAGATCCTTATTTAGCACGTGTGCAATCCAAGAACAAAAGAGGGTTCTCTTTCCTCCTCAACAGCTGTCATTATTGGATATCTTCATTACAATATTTCTTGATATTGTGTTGCTCTCTTTAAGTGCATTAAAGATTAATCTTCATTGCAATAATGGACTATTTTGTACCAGGTAACACAGAGGAAACTCTCCCCAAGGGTATACATGAAAACCACTTCAAAGTCTCATACTTGCACTCCCCAAAAGCTTCCTCAACATTGGCAATCAAATGATCAATACCCTTGGACTGCTTCTTGTACTTCAACAAGCTTTGAATTGAATTCAAGAATCCAAGGTTGAGTACATTAAAATCTGGACTATTTGGCAGCTGAGTCATAACAGAAATATTCCAACCTCCCCTTGCTGCTGCTGCTGCTGCTGCAGCTGCAACCACATCCCTTATACTTGCCCTGTGGGGTTTAGCATTGTCTTAAATGACTGGTAGAACCTTTTAAACCAGTAAAATGAAAATCATATGCTAAAGTGGGGCCTCTTTGAATAACTTTCTGTTGTGAATTTGTACAATAACAATTGATGGAATTACCAACATAACTGTACACCAGTAGTACAATAATGGATCTGTTTAGTGCAAGAATAAGCATTCTTATCACCCAATTATTGAGCTTATTTCAACATAATAGGTTTGTAGGGTACAATTAGTATGGGGAAGAGGAAGTATTATTTAACGCAAATTGTTTTTTAAACAGTAACTCCCAAAGGCATAGAAAATAAAATATTATTAATTGATTTATTGAATTTTTTAATCAATTAATAAAATTTTATTAAATGCACAATAAAAACTTACTTTGTAATTGAATTTTATTACTGTGCATTTTATAACAATTGAATGCGGTCTCATCAGTGAGCAAGAACAATTAATTTGAAGTTATAAACTTTGATTTGAAATTATGAACTTTTGCTTGTACATCATGTACCAGGTTCAACTGAGTGATTTTTTAGAAAGGACTGAATGGCCAGATTGATTCCCCTAAAATAATTGTTCAAGGTCATTCAATCATGAATCCGGCCTTTTGGTCACAAGTTGCCATTGAGTGATTTCCAATAACTAGCTCAGTAGACCATAGAAGAATTTCTACTACTAGGACATTTGAAATTCTTAACTTCAAATTGAAGTTTATGACTTCAAATTTAAACTTTTTGCTCACTGATGAGAACTTATTTAATTGTTATGAAAAACATAGTAATGAATTAATTAAATTCAATTTAAATTATGAGATTACTACTACCATAACTCCTTAGTACTATTTTGTGTAGAAATGTTGAATTGGCAGATTTTATTATGGGGTTAATCAAATTTAATTAATATTTTTCATTAATCACACGATACAAATAGTCCATGGCTCTAAAAGATAGTTTATGATGATCTGTAAGAAATCCCAGATGCCCATTTGGGTACATGTTGAAATCATGGGCATTGTGCAAAAACATTTCAAAACAGACGTGTTCAGTGTCTCTCCTGAGGATCAGAGCTATTAGTAGTAGTAATGATGGTGGTAAGTCCCGTACTGGCAAACTATTGGGAATTCTGAACCTCCAGGGCCAGCTGGCTTGCCTGCCATGGGAAATTACCCCCTGTACATTGCAGTACCACAGTACAAAACCTACTGACTGTATGTATGTGTTTTTATACTATTACAGAAAATAGTACAGCAGTACTGGAGGAACTGCATCAAATGCTGCAAATCTCCCAACCACAAGAAAAGGACGCAAACTGCTCTAAAACAGAGCAAAACGCTGCATTCATACTCAAGCAAACACTACAAGKCGTTCATTCATGCTCAAGGGACAGGTGTATGAAGGCTTTGTACTGAAGCAAAAAGGTGATTAACTGTTTCATACTCAAGGGCCCAGCATGCGGGGGATCTTTCAATACTCAGGGGACCAGTGATATGGAGGAAATTCATACAAAGGACACTGATATGGAGGAGAATGCTAATACAGAGAAGTATGCTGATACAGAGGAAGGCACTGGTGAAACAAAACACACTGATATGGGGAGTATGCTGATATAGAGGAGTATCATGCTGATAAGGACAGGAGGACACTGATAGTAGTACTCCCACCAGTAAGAAATAATGGCATTTGATGTTTGAAAAAAATCAGGCAAAACAATTGGTGAAATGGGTTCAGTTTCTGAATAAATCCTGGCAAGGCCCTCAGTCATTCTCCACCTCAGATTTTTTCAGAAGTTGAGTTTCAATTTTTTAACAGTTTTTATTTTTTATTGCATTGACGGTTGTAATATCAGGTTTTACCGGTAAAAATGAGCTAAAATTTTCTACTAGTATCATTTGTACGGGAATTGCCAATAACTTGGCAGCACGGGACTTACGGTACGAGTACCTGGTACCATCAGTAGCTCTACTACAGAAAGGATGGAATATGAGTTCGATGCGTCGCGCACCACTCTAAAATTTTGATCCATGTGTCCGATTACGTACGTATGATCTGATGGGTGATGGACGAACCTGAAATCGACGACCGTTCCATATTTTCGATTTATTTTACAGAAATCGACAACAGAACAGAACAATACCAGTGACGGCACTCTCAGTTATCCTTGCCTTACCACCATCCCACGACTATCCCCTTGCGCTCGAGCAGGAACTATCCAAAACGTGAAGATGAGACCAGCACAATTCGTCATAAACGTTTGGATTTCATTCCTATGGTTACATCGTTCAATATTCTCTTCATCAGAAAACTTTGTGTTGGCCTTCAAAGCAAAAAGGATTCGCACAATTTGCACCGCGACGAATGATTGTCTTACTTCACCAACGTTTTCACAAGTACTCTCAGTTCGAGGCGGTGATATTGTTTATCTGGAATCAATAGAAGACACCGAGAAGGTAGTTGCTGATAATGTCGACGATGATAATCAACTGGTCGTTATTTACTTCTCCTCTACAAATTGCCCCCCATGCAAGAGGGTGGCGCCGTTATTTGCAGAATTAAGTGAAGAATTCCAAGACAGCAATATTGTGTTCTGTAAGGTCAATGTCGATGAAAATCCCGGCACAGCAGAAAAATATCAGGTCACGGGATGGCCGACCTTTTTGTTCCTAAAAAAAGGCGAGAAGATTATGGAAATCGTCGGAGGAAAAATCGCCGAGGCAACTTTGTACGATTGGGTGAAGTTAATGGCGCCAAAAGAAGACGGAGAAGAAGAAGTAAACAGTGGCAAGGAAAGCACTAAAAATATTGACAGCTAGGAACGCTTTTTCATATTTGAAACGCTCAACCACCTACAGAAGAGTCCTTGTTGACGTATGTGAATACGAAATAGTACTTGATTTTTCCCCCAGGCAAAAACGATTATGTCAACGAGTGAATAGGCAAGTCGCAATCATTGAATGCAGATGTAGAGTAGAAATCGACTATCCAACAGAAACAGATATGATGAGATAGCTACTGTGGTAACATTGAGAATAAAATGAGCAACTTCTTGTTCGATTACCACTACATAGTACTTCCTTAAAGTAGTTTTTGCATGTGGAGACTACATTAAAGTGCATTCTATTGAATTGAGAAAGGTATGGCCCTTGGGGTGCTTCATCCCCAAACCATTGAATTGACGTTGTTGTTGTTGCCCATTGGAAGTCACAACAAACTGATTCTTAACATTATGTCAGGGCAGGCCAACGCCATTATATGACTAGCAATACTATACGATACCACCAGTAACTTTATCATCACCAAGATGGATTATTTTTTTTTATAAAGAAAAGTTTTAACCTACTAGTTGTAGTACTACTAGCAGAAGATCATCCTGTAAATTGAGACTTATTTTTTAGTGGTAGCAAGTAGTACTAGTACTACTGTTAGTAGATTGGTGGAGTGAAAAAGGATTTTTTTGGAAGGAAATATTGAAGGTGGTGGTGTCAAGTGAGGATACTATTACTTGTTCCTCAATATGGAACTGCTGGTACCATTGGTAGTATGTGGTGACTTTGAAATAGTGTCAATACCTGACAATTTTATGAGAGCTTCTTCTTGTTACTATCTGTCAAGAAAAACCAGTGGTTGTGACACTACTGCTAGTTATAGCTACTACTTGCTTCCTCTGTCCAAAAATAGATGTATCCTATGCACCTCTAGTAGTGATATAAGCTCAATCACTTAACAGATCTATCATAGATGTAATCAATTACAAAGATTGCATTAGGTGAAAGGGTCTGATGTAGTTGCAATAGCTACTTTAAGAGAGTCGTTTTTGGCATATCAATGTGATTTCACCCTCAGTTAGGTTCTACTGGTCATTTAAGCACGACTGAGAGCCTTTTCATTATATTCTTATTATAGCTACTCATAGAGAATGTTCATATACCAGTCATTCTTGTTCAAAAGAGGTGCACTGTACCACTGTCAATATTTTGTTTCCTGTGTTAATAGACATGTAATTTTCATGTGCAAAAATAATCTTTTTTCACGCACATGCTTGTTATTTCTAGTCTCTATTACCAATTCTACACATTCTACACAGTCATTCCTTAAATTAAACAGTCAAACCATTAAGTAAATAGGGGACACTCTTTGTATGGACAGCCAAAAGGGTCACAGGGTACATCTATTTCTGGACAGAGGAAGTACCAGCTACTAGTAGTACAAGCAGTCTCAGCAGGTATGTGCTGTGGTTGTCTGATCAATACTTGTCAATTTTGCTCTGGCCTGTACTACTGCCACCATAGTACTAAGCAGATAAAGGAGGAGTGTCACTCTGCACTCATGATGCCCCCCCATTTAAAGTTCAATAAGAATCATTTTCTTGTTGTTGTCAATTAGATTTCTCCTCACCAGTAAAAAGAAGCTTTTTGTCACATTGTACTAGCAAGGATCTTCTTCTTTTTGTTTGCTTACTACTTAGTATGCCTTTGACTGATTTTTGGTGTCATTTGTTCTGCATTTTTACAACCTCATCATCATCATAATTCCCATCTAGGAGTAGTACAGTACTATGTCATTTTTGCCCTTCTTAGTAGCAACATTCCTCACCATCCTGTTTTTGAGTCCTGTTCTTCTTGACCTCCTCCCCCTCCTGCTCCTGCTGTTACTAGTACTAGTTCTTACTAGTAGTTAGCAGTGAATTTCAATCCTCTAGTAGTAGTAGTAGTAGTAGTAGTAGTAGTAGTAGTAGTAGTAGTAGTAGTAGTAGTAGTAGTAGTAGTAGTAGTAGTGTTGCATTACTAAGAGTTAAGGTCACACTGAAGCATTGCTGACTACAGTACTAGTAGGAATGTACAGTACGCGGAAGAACCTGAGTTGATCAAGTGAGAAATCACAGCAAATTTGCTAGCAAATAACATATGTGATGAAATCTGACTTTCCAATTTCATCAGAGATTGCTCCGACATTTCTGAGAAAAAATTTTGGAGCTCTGAAACCAGGCTGGAAACCACACTTTGAATGCTATTAAAAAAGCTGGCCAAGATGGAATCTGGCTAATATGCATACACTCTGACACCAGAGTGAGAGATCCAATCAAGGGGCTGATTGTATTTCAATCTGGCTTTGCGAGTGCCTCTCAAGCATCTGCTAGCAGCCCTTGCCACAACAAATCCAATTCTGGATCTGACCAGACCACATACTTAAGAGTAATTCCTTCCCCACTTGGAAGCAAGCCTGGAGGCAAGCTGCTTTTGAGCTGCAACTACCTCTGGGCCCTCCATCCCATCAATGGAGTAAACAAGAGGTGTGAAGTGCCTGTGGGCCTGCTGACAAGGGTCCTGATACTTGTCTTTCTTCTCTTGCTCTTGGGACTGGAGTACATGCAGTGGAACCTTTGTGTCATAGGAAGATGCATCAGTATCTGTGATTCTGATGTCAAAAACTGTGGTGTTTCCTTGCTTCCAAAATCCATGCACTGCAAGATTGCCTCTGAGATCTTGTGGTGACAGTGGGGTGTTGCATTGGCGTTGATCGTGAGCTGATGGTGGCTAATAGGTGGGGATTCTTGGTTCATTAGTAACACTGATTCGTGTCAGTGCCTTGACACAGAACTGGTGCCATTCTCCTGTAATGTCATTATGGCCTTGCAGGATGAGCCCGCCCTTTTGGCAGGACATGGTATGTTTGATGGAGAAGCTGGCAATGCATCCATCATAGTACCGCATGATGGAGAGGGCAAAGGCCAAATCTCAGTCTGAGGTTGTCCCAAAATGCTTTAGCTGACAAGACTGTCCCATTGAGGTTATGGGATGTCGATTAGCCAGTTGGTCAGGTCCACAATTTCCTTGTGTAGCATCTTGGAGAAATTGCCATAATGTAGTAGCCAAGTTTTGAGCTCCTCACCATCTGTGCCACCTGACCCGGCAGCCCCGGAGAGCTTTGCACCCACTAGTTCAACAATGTCCTTGGTGACACTGAGAGGGACCTTGGTGGGGACCTTGGCATGGCATAAGTTTCAAAGGCCCAGTCCGGTGTGCCAAGATTTGTTGGATTGTGCAGAGTAGGATGTTTGGACTTCAAAACTACAAGAACCTGCCTTCCAGTCTTGGTACACTGGTTGTCTGGATGCAAAACGCCCGCAACACCACAGCCAGTGAGGTTTCTGCAGGCTGCTCTAAGACAACCAGCCAGAAAGAAGCTTTTTGTTGAAGTCCCAAAAAGCTTGGTCTTCCATCTTGGGTTTGGTGGGTCCATCGCTGAGCCAGGTCTGGGCAAAGAGATCATCTATAAGAGGGCTGTAGTGACCGGCGTCCCAATGGTTGATCCATTGTTCCATAAGACTTTTGATGTCACTTGCCCATTTCATGTCATGAGCTTCCTGGTGCAAGATAACTGCCACAAATACCAGGGGTCCTTCTGAATTCATTGCCACAGATACACTCCTTGCACTTCATTGCAACACCTCCGGACGTCTGGAGAAACATTTTCCCCACATAATTCTGGGGTACCACCAGGTACCATCTTGGTCAGAAGTTGACAATTTGTTTCTATCTGTGTTTCCGGAATGCATCATCGGCAATGTTACCAGTAAGGTAGGTGCCAGGGTTGTTGTGGACATGATTGTCATAGATCCTGTCCAATTTAGAATCTGTCTCAGTAAGAACATAGTTGGGGAGATCTGCCCCTGCTGCATCAGGAACTGGGAGATCTGGCTGAATAGTGGTGGTATGAGTACTACTACTAGTAGTATGGGCTTGAGAATCTGGAGACCATGGTGTTTTGGCACAGCACTGAGGAAGAGCCACCCTTACCGTGATCTTCACATTAATTGCAAGTACTTCTTCCTCCATAGTCCTGTTTTCAGCCTCTGGATGATAAGGAGCCTCATTCCTTCTCAGCCAGTGCTGTTGTTGCCCCCATCCCTTAGCACAAGCCCTTAGTAAATCCAGATGTGGAGGTGCAGATTGAGCCTCCAAATGAGCCTCCAAAGATGGGTGCAGAGTAAGCCTCTGAATTCCTTGAACTGTGTCTGCAGGCCTTAAATGTAGAGGTGCAGAGCAAGCCTCCAAATGAGCTTCCATATGAGCCTCTGAATAATTAGCCAATCAGATTGCTTGGTTCTTACTTCCTCTGTTCACAAATAAATGTCCCTTTTGCACCTCTTTGCTTGAAATAAGCTCATTTTTTGGTCAATTTGAATGGTTCTTTTTTGGTTCAATTGATCTTGTTTCATACTATTTGAATGTCTTATGCCTTTCAATGTCGTACTTATAGTAAGCCATCAAACAGAGAAATTTTTAGTGTATTTCATTTTACCAGTTGAAAGGGTTCTACCAATCATTTAGCGACCAGACTTGGAGCAATAGGAAGCTTAGATTAAGTATATTAAAAGGCTATTATGCGCATTGATAAGGAGAACTTTCTTGTATGGTCATTTCTTGTTTGAAAGAGGTGCACTGTATCATTGTCAAATTGCATTTGCTGTGTTAATAGTACCGGCTGGCATGTATAATTTTACGGGTGAAAATTAATTTTTAATCATGCACATGCTCATTTCCAGTTTGTAGTACTGATTCTATGCATTCTACACAGTCATATTTAATTTGGAGTTATTCATGAGTGTTAATTTACTTGAGGGCATTTTTTTGAGAACAACAAATAACGGGCATGATAACATTTATTTGGGAAAGGAGGAGGAAGTACTACTACCAAATATTATCATTATTCAACTAAGTGGTTACAATACTATGTGGTCAACTGTGTGTCACCTAAAGGCAGTACTGGTGCAATATCATGTCATGTCATAGTCACATACAGTAGTGCTACATACATGCTGGCACATAGTACTACTACCAGTACCACCAGCACTACTACTAGTATACATCTAGTACTACTACTAGTAGTAGTACTAGCAACTACTACAAGGTCTATCTGCTGGTAAATGAATAGGCTCAGATGTGAGCTGGTGACCCCTGTCTTAAAAAATAATTATTTACTTACAGAAGTGTACAGAACCTGGCTGAAACTGAATTATTTTCAACTGTTAGTGAAAGGTTCAACCGCTAAGTGACATAAGCAATTGCTAAGAAACAACTTAGCCATAATCAAGCTCTGCATAAGTTATCCCTAACTCCAAATTAAAACTGAACTCGTCGTAAACTGTAAATTGTCCAAAACGGGCGTTTTCATTTTTCAATCACCTGTGCAGTATTGTACGTACGTGAAGTAACGGCAGGTTCGAATAGTAGCAGTTTGCACCGCACCGCAGCTCTCTACAACAATGATGAAACGAAGATTTATGGATTTAAACACTTTGGATGAATTACTGGTATCACCTGGAAAATTCAATGAAACTAAGCGACGGTAAAAGCCAAATTTTTGTGGATTCAAATAGAATTCAATAAAGATAGTTAGGGTACCAATGATGTGGGGAGATCCTGAGGTAGGTTTCCCAATCTTGAGCATTTTCCACGTTCCATCCCATTTGAATGCCGATGGCAATCCATCGGCGAACACGAGTCAAATTCATAGCAGATGGAACAATATTTGAAATATGTTAACGGTTTTCTTCTCTAATCTTTCCATCTTCTACATGATATCCATACTGAACGGTTTGCCAGAGAGCTGCTTCAATTGAGCCGGGAAGCGATCAGCTGGCGACTCTTCTGTTCCAAATATCTAGTCCTGCTCACATTCCATGGGGAGACCAACGGTGGCAAGAAGTTTTGCACGGGTATGATGTTTGGGTCCACATGGACGATAACAACCCGCTCATGGATCAAGCTTGTCAAAGCATGGCGAAACACGCAGAAACCTCCAGCAACCTTGCTGCCTTGTCTCTCCACGTGACACGAATGATGCGGGATTTGACGAGGGACATTCGAACACCAAAACTAAGCAACAACACGAATGCAAACAAAGGAATAAACAGTATCCCGGGCGACGAAGACTCATTGGTGGCAGACGCGCTGGTGGCGGATTTTTCGAAACGAATATCCCGCATAGCTAAAGCTAGGGCAACTGCAGGAGCCCTACAACTTTTGCGGCTGCTCTGTCACACTGCGATTGTCGAAGCGAGCAAAAATCCAGACACGGCTGTAGCCAACACGAAAGAAGTGTTCACTTACCACACGCGAGGAGACTTGTCCGCCGATCAACCAGCAGGATATCCATTGGTACACTCATTACTAGATTTCATCGCGATGCTGGGAACAGAAAGGAAGACGTCGACAACGATGCCGGACCCTGCCCAAGACATTCTTCAGACACCCGAAATATATGACGCTGCAGTATTTTCCTTTCAATTGCTATTCGTTCTGTGCGGAACGCAACTTTATCAACCATTTCACTCATCTTTTGAGAGTAGTTCATCCTGCCACTACTTCCTGGAAGAATTATTTCGACAAAATAACGACGACAACTGCGAAGACAATGTCGCAGATAACAACAATCTTCAAATATTATGGTCTTCGAATAGGTCGATGGGAAGCAACAGCACGCGCAGCATTGGAAATGGAAGTAGCAGTCGTACCAAAAGAAAAACCAAATTCAAGCACAAACGAACAAGATCTGGTAGACGGAAATTTTGGACGCCGAAAGCCGTTTTGGAAACTTGTCTTGATTGGCAATTGTACAGGCCGTTGGCCCCTGAGCACAGCATAGCTCACTATTATTACGCTATGGCAAAGTCGGCAGTTGGTGCAAAAGGAGGAGAAAAGCCTGGTCAGGACGGCTTGTATGAGACTCATATGGTGGTTCAGGCGGTTTCACCGAATGGTAAAAGTCCGACTTCCGACAACAATGCTGCCGACAATAATTTTGATTTAATTTCAACGACAACTTCGACACCTACCGCCAGTGGTAGCAGACAGACTAAGGGAGGTAGAAGGACACCGACAAAACGAAACAATGTGATAGTAGACACGACGAAAGGTATACTTACATTGGGTGGATCCATCATTTTCTTACCACTTCGGCTCATGAGCCTTGTCTACGGTGTGTTCACAACCGGCAACAAAAAAGGAACAAATGATCTGAACCGAGCCATTGTGATGAAAAATCTTGCTAGTGCCCGGTATAGTCGTACGAGAGATATTTTGTGGTTGTCTGATTCCTTGTTGGCAGACTTGGGGTGCTCCTTGATCTTGCTTCTTGTTAGCAACAATCGGAATGGGGAGAACAGCAACCCATTTCGAAACAAGTTGAAAAACCTAACGGACACTCGCTGGTACTCGGAAAACATGGGAATTCGCCCGAATCTACCAGACTTACCAAATTTCAGCGAAGAAGGCAATGCATCTCTTGCTTTGGAATCTATGGAGATACGCGACGAAAGCGAATTGCAACAAGTGCTTTCTTACAATGGTGAAACGCCGTTGGCTCTGAATTTTGAATCGCTGTTCACATCATTCGGTCGCACTCTTCACACTGAGTTAGGAGCGTTACTGCTTTACACGATCTTGCAATCATCGTCTTCTTTTGCTGAGTCCCTTGCAGTACGGTCAGATATGGACAATCTTGTCATGCCCCTCTTAAGGACGCTATACTTTGCTTCTAGAAGTAACACGTACATGGCGAAGGACTATGCAACAAAACACAGGTCTTCTACGAAAAACACGAGGAAGACTTCATCATTAGACATACGAAGTTGCCCGTTTCGAACTCAATCGCAGCTCTATGTGATCATCATATTGCTACTCCTATTCTCTCAAGATGTTTCGTTCGGGAGGGATATCTTTCGACGAGTAATTATCCTTTCCGTACCATGGTACAAGGAACGAAATTTAAAATGCATCAACTTAGGATCGGTGGTGATACTAACATTGCTGAGATCGTTGCTGTTTAACTTGAATCGAATGGACGATGTATTTCTTTTAAACAATTGTTGTGCCGTGCTCGAGAACCTGTCGCCTTCTATAACGGATTTGCACGAGTATGCAGCAATGCGTCTGGTCTCGGTAACAGTCAACGTAATGAAAAAACATGCCAAATTAGGACTCGCCGCGTCACACAACAACACTAGTGCGAAAAAGGATAACAGTGACCACGATGGCGACGTCGCAGATTCTTTCCTTGGTCCGTTAGAGATGCATAGCGAAGTGGCGCATACTCTGTTGGGACTTATCAAACATGGTTTGTCATTGAAGAATATTGAAGGGAATATACATATGATTTACGCACTTGTCTATCACCAAACGGATTTGATAAATCTTTCAAAAACCAATTGCGCCGTCGGCAAGAAGAAAAAGAAGCTGTATGCTTCCGCGCAAACGAATCGCATTGTCAGCGTCATTCTCAGAGCCTCAGAAGCGATTCAAGAAGAAGGTGCGCGAACTGCTCCAAAGGCACTGAAAGTCTTGGAACGCCAAATGAAGAGTTTGAAAACGGCGGTAATGGCCGCTGATGGTGAAATGATGAGCAGATCTACGTCGAATCGCAAGCAACATATGAATAACGGCAGCAATCAAAATGGTTGTGGAGGTGATCACGAGAATGATGTGGGTAAGGAAAATGGCAGTGCCTCCCTACCCATTCCTGAAGAGGAATTTACCTTTTCTTACGAAGAAGAAGCGGATCCCGAGGTTTTCTTTGTTCCGTATATTTGGGACCTTGTAGTCAGCACAGTGACTGCGAGCATTATGGATTGGAAGAAAGATGATATAGAAGTTTTCGAGCTATTAGACATAGCTAGCGAAGAAGATATTATGGGAACTGAAGATAGTCCTTCCAATTTCGATCCATCTGCGACAGACGGGGAGTTCTCCAAAAAGGCGGATGAAATGGTGTAGGATACTGGTGTCAAATATCCAATGACGGTTTGTTGTACTTTAGCAGAATTACTATAAATTATGAACCATGACAGGATTGGATCAAATTTCCTTTTACAGCATTATCTTCGTTATCATAAATTTATGGAAAATTAAGAAGAAGAGTATTATTATGTATTAGGCTCTCCGTTTCTTGAAAAATTACCTCACCCGATTATCTACATATGTGGTTTCCCAAGCATGGTCTTCGGAGGTGCAGCTTTCTGTTACAACCGAGCTAATCGGTTTTTTCCTCATTTTCAGAATGTCTGGTTTCGGAATAATTGCGCCGCTCTTTTTGGATATCCTGACCTTTTCCCCGCTAGGTAAGACCCTTTTGAAAATTCGTGTCGGAATTCCCTGGATGGGATCCACTAGTTGCACGTTCGAGTAGTGCATCGTTCGTTCAAGTTGGATAACTTTTCCTGGTATTCCCTTGTCCTTGTCTCCCTTGATGCTTCGAGGTCCCATGTTGACGCCTTCCACGATGACTCGGTCCAAATCGCGCAATACCTTCTTGACGATCCCTTGTTTACCTCGTTCTGGATGATTTCGACCTATGACTTGGACCGTGTCGCCCCGAACAATATTCCATTGAGTTTTCTTCGCGGCCTCCCGTAACTGTGGTTTCGGTTTGTGGAACTTCCCACTACGAGATGCGATCTGGGCAAGACGATTTCGTGCAGCAGACGACATGGCGGATTGACTTTTTGGATCCAATTCTATTCGATGCTTCTTTCTCGTGCTGCCACCTATCGTTGAAAGTTATATCGACTTTAACTGACATGTATGAAACGTTACTGTATTGACTATTGGTCGAAAGCTTGTCCAGCTTCGTTTACACAATGTTATGATGATAGCGGTACTGGTTTTCACCTCGGTTTATTGTCGTGCAAGTTCATCCTCCACTAGCTCATCTTGATGCGACGAAAAATGTGTCTGTCCTGCGACACGAACTTGGTAGATCTGGTGTCGAGTGAATTACTTGGCCCTCCATTAGTATTTTTAAACAATAAAATAGTTTCCCATACACCCCGCGAAACAAAGAGATTTTTTCTCATTGTTCTCATTGTTTCTTGTTGTTATGACCAAGAGAAACTAAGAGAATATTGCCTATTGTTGTTTCTCTTTGTTTCCCATCATTGTTTAAATAAGGAGTTTCTCTTTGTTTAAGTAGAGTGAATACATGATTTGAACATGGTGTATCCATTGTTCCTCTCATGTAGTACAGTAACGCACAGTAATCAAATTGTATGCAGGATCGCTAAAATGTGACTGTTAATCATCTGTTAGAGCTGTGAACTACTTGTATCTCATGATTAATAAAATTTTATTTAAAGACAAGTAAAATTTTATTATGAGCTTAATAAAATGTTAATAAAATATTAATAAAAATATAAACCAATTAAAAAGTGGTGGTTGTTGGTGGGCATTTCTACTCAAAACAGGACAGAGTTCTGCTAATCTCATTAATTAATAAATTTTTATTAAACGATTAATAAATGTTAATAAAATTTTATTAAGATTTTATTACTACTTGCTTAATAAATTTTTTTCATTCACTTAATAAAATTTAATCAAATGAAAAATCAATAAAATTTTATTATCTACTATGCCTTTGGGAGTTACCAATTAAATAACAGTTAACGTTAAACAATAGCTTAAAGTAGATATCAACTGTTTTGTGAACAGATTGCACTTTCAAAACAGGGGCAGTGTGCAAAACAGTTAGAAAAGGCTCCTTCAGTACCTCTTCAAAGGATAGGTCTTGGTTGAATACTGGGGGCTGGGGTTGTTGTTGTTATTGTCCGGCACAAATATCAGAAACAAAAGCGACTTCAAGACCAGAAGATACAGCACTTCCAGAGGAACTGGTGGGGATGGATCTAGCTGAGGCTTGAGACAGGAATGATATCCATGTACTTAGTATAGTTTTGGTTAGATTTCTTGCTGGTTAGTAGTGCTTGAATGGAGCCAGGGAGGTGGATTTACCATGGTGGTTTGGATGCCAGAAGGTGTAGATCAGGTATGTATGTACATACTAGGAATCAGTAGGAAATCTAGGTGATAATTTTCAGAACTGAAGTGTAATTTTGTGCACTTGAAAAAAATGAAAGCAGGGATGGTAATACTGCTTGCACATTTCTTAGCATTATTCTTTCCTCAGTACTATCTCCTTTTACTTACTATGCTACTAGTACTAGTAGGCCAAATGACAACAAGCCAAAGTGGAAAATTGAAGAACTGTCATCAAATACTGCTGAAAAATTCTTTGGATTGTTAAAGCACTTTCAATGCAGGAAGGCCAAAAGATGTTACAGAACAAGTTAAAAAATGATTTGAGAGGTGGGAACTGCTCTCAAACTAATGAAGAAAGTGTTACTCCTACTACTAATAGTAGTAGCTAGTTTGTTAGAAGAACTCCAGGCAGAATTTGTTCTTGACAACATGGATGTGAATATATGATCCAGGTCAGATTCAGTTTACAGGCAGATGTATACAAGAATGAACTGCAAGTAGTTGACACTTCAGTTATCAGAGACTATGGTTCGCACAAGTGTGCTGGGAGAACATTACTAGTACTAGTAGTACTAGTACTAGTATTGAAACCACCACCTAAAGAAGTACCAATTACTAATGTTACTACTAGTAACACAATAACTGTTCCCCACAAATTACAGAGAATCCTTGGAAAGTGTCTCAGTTTCAGCCTGCTAGTGTTACACAAGAAGAAGCAGTCATTGTTTGGCTGGATTTATATTGTGCTTTAAAGAGGAGTTCGACCTTCCAGTGCTGAGGACCTGCTTGTGAGAACAGTGCTGCTGCTTCTCTCCACAAAAAACAATACTTCCAACAACAGCAACATTCAACATAGTACTAGGCAACAGATCAATAAATTCCATTCCTATTTTAGAAACAACAAACAGCCACAGTGGTTATGTTAATTCACTTCTAGTAAATTCTTTTGAATTTTTCCACCTAGTATGCACTCACTTAGTTTTGCACCATGGTAAGTGTCTGTGTAAGCCAACCAATTGAAAATGGGGAACAACACTCTGGGCCCTCCGGAACCAACGCACGCATGCCCCTCCTTTGAAATCAAATATCGGGGGCATGATTTCTTGATTTTTTTCCAAATAAAATAACCCATGTAATAACTCATGATTCTAGTAAAACGTGGGTTCCTGGGTTAACCCACAAAAACCCACAAACCTGCTGGGCCTTTTTTCAAAAATTAAAAACACCAGTGATTAAATAACGTTAATGACTAAAATACTTAACATCCTTGGTTCTCCATCAACCCAGATGGCTGTAAAAGCGTGGTGGGTTGTTTGTGGGTTATTTCGTGGGTTATCTTTCAAATTAAAAAACCCACGTTTCTAAAACGTGGGTTATTCTTCCCATGAAATAACCCATGATTGAAAAATAACCCACGTTTTTCTAGGGGAGGAATTCGAAAAGGGGGGATGTGTGCGTGGGTACCGGAGGGCCCTGTAGAGCTCTGTTTGATTTGTAGAAAAAATTAAGGACCGGATCAATACTAAATTGACCGTGGGAGGGAACCCCTGCTGGATGAGTGCGGGACTCAATTGTCAAGATATTTGTAGTAGAAGTACAATACTTCTACTGCATACGCCGTTACTGTAATTACGTGCCGGTAGGCTAACACGCACATCTCAGGATCGAGACAAAAAATTGATGCGATCGATTTGAAAAAAATAACAATGATTGTGAGAAAGTTCGATCACAGAATTCTAACGAGGTCATCTGTAGCGCACAACAGGGGATCACGGTTTGAGCATCTGGCACTGTGCAGTCGAGTCGGTGAAGTCTCATCCAAAGCGAAAGGTGACAGCGAGACCAACGGATGATCTTCTTATGATCACGACAAAAACTGATACGGATACTGCGGCAGCACCGTCCAGAGATCAGCCGCAAGACAGCACACAGATAAGGACGAGTTCTCTGTTGCGTGCCCATGCTGCCGTGTTTATCCCATCCGCTTTAGTCTCTACTGCCCTCTCTGATGATATTGCAGCGAAGGCCAACAGTCCTAATGTTGCTCTGCAGCCACGAAAGCAGAACGGCAAGAAGAACAAGAGATTCAGATCCAACCGGAAACATCAACGACAACGGGAATCAAACAAAGAAACCGAGAAACCGGGGGAATATTCTGAGAGGCTTGAATCACAGAATAAGAGCAACCGCGCTCCAAGCAACAAAGATAACAAGAGGAACGGGAGAAAAAACAAGAAGAAGACAGATCGCCCCAGAGGATCTCAACGACAAACCAAGAAGGAGCCTCGAAGGAGACAAGAACGACCAAAGCACACTTCAAAATCGAAGAATAAGGACGAGTTCCATCACACGAGTGCAATTAGGTTCGAATCGAAAACTCAGGGCCAACGATTACGAGACTTCGACGAAGGCTACGACGCCTCGTCGTCGGATTTTCCTGCACTGGTTGCATCGCCAGAACAGTTTCAATCTTTGGAAACCACGTGGGATGCCTTTCCTGGAATTCGAGACGTACGAGAGCAGTCATCGCAAGATGACTCTACTTGTGCACACGAGGAGACAACATGCTGGCGAAATGGTCTCGATCGATTGGATATGTCAGGCGGAAGAGAGTCGCGACTTCATAAGAATCGTAGGCAACGCTTGGAATTTTCAGCGTGGGACAACAGCGACGACGAAAGAGGGACTGATGAGGTTCAAAACATGGCCAGCGGGGGCGATACGAATGATCAATTAGCCATAAAAGAATCGGCAACATTATCTATAATAACTGAGACTCAAAACGTTAATAGTTCATGGAAACGAACATTTGATTTGAATCGGTTGAGAGATCGTTGGTGGATGGTAGTCGAAAAACACAAAAAGCGACTCACCGAGCAGCGACAGCAGGAGCAGCTGCAGCGGCAGCAAAAGCTACAAGAGTCCGAGCAAAAAGAGGGACAGGTAAATCGTGAAGTCGGTACCTATGATTGCAACGACAATGATGTTACAGATTCAGGTGAAAATCTGCACCGTCATTACAGTGCTGATAACGGCTACAGTTTCGAAAGTTATTGTGTTCCTGGGAGTAACAAGGAACGTTATCATATTGAAGATGTCAATTTGTCAGCCCTTTATGATCGTATCCAGAGCAATTCATCACTCTCTCAAACAGAAACAAGCAAGAAGAAGCTGTTCGATATCATCATAGAACACAACGATGAGCAGGCATTAAAAGAAATGTTAATGAGGTCATGGAAAGTTGAAGCTAAGAATCTTGGTGCCGAGTTTAGGCATAATAGCAGCGATATCGGTCGAACGCAACTTTTTGAGGTGTTTGACGGCGAAATAAACGAGGAAGATGCTGGGGATTTTATGGAATATTCCATTGAAAAAGTTATTCGTCAAAATAAACCTCGTTTACTACGCACAATTCTTTCAGTGACAAATGGAAGAATCCCTATAAACTCACAACCGCTGATACAAGCTGCAAAGCTTGGTCACGAGGAGTGTGCATCGATACTTTTATCGAAACAAGACAGAGATTCTACGATTTTGTTTCTGAAGGATGACACCGACGGCAACACGGCACTCCATCACTGTTGTAGAGTAAATGGAAAGAAATGTATGGTACTTATGTTGCTGAAGCATGTCGCAGGAAACACAAAATGTAAGCGCCAAGAATTATCAAAACTGGTGACCTCGAGGAACAAGAACTTGCAGACGCCTTTGCATTTAGCTTGCCAGTCGGGACGCAATGACTTGGTCGAGGTATTTTTGACAACGTGTAAAAGTACCTTGCTATTCAAAATACTTTCTATGGAAGATGCTAAAGAACAAACTCCTCTTTTGACTGCCGTGGGAAGTAGTTGCTATGATGTCGTCGTTAGCCTGTTGATGTGGCGAGGAAATCATGATCATCAGCGACAGGATCAACCCACCTGCTACTCTCCTGCACCCGACTTTTTTGTCCACAAAAGGAACGGTGAAAAAAAGACATCAAATAAGAATATACAGAATTCGATGTGTCCTCTAGTTTGGGCTGCCAAAACCGGCAACTTTGACATGATCGACTTATTGATTCAATTCGGAGAACAATCAGGAAATTCTTACCTCGTAACCGAAGCCTTGCTCATTTTGTTGAGGTCAGATGCTCCCACTGAAACTAAGTTGAAGGGAAGCGATCTCCTAGTCCTGGCAGGCGCAAATCCATTTGAAGCAATCATCACAGATAATAAAAAGAAAGAAACTGCACTAAGTGTGGCTTCTGAGTGCTCACCAAATGAAGTTATTTGTTCGATGATTTCAACTGCGATGCGGATGATTACAGATAGGCAACTTTCTCGTCGACGAGATCCCATATTGCAACAGCAACCAGAAGCCTTCTTTAGAACGTTGGAATCAAAAGAGAATTTCGAAGCAAACAGTGCCATATCAAACGCTTTGGTCGAAGCTTTGTTTCAAGGTTATTCGAGCCAAAAAGTTGCGGATTTTTCCACGGCGATGATGTTCTACGAAAAAATTGAAAAAATCGATGACAGTTATCTTGCACGGTTACGATTTAGCATTCTGAATGGTCGAATCAAACTTTACACACCTGCATCCATGAGTGCCATGAAGTGGTGTCTCATTGCAACCTATGAACACTCTACAAAGGAGATCACAGGAAAGAAAGGGCCAAAGTCAGGTCTCCTGGATTGTGATCGCACTTTATTTGCTGAGAAAAGTATACTTTTGTCCAACATTCCTTGGGTAAAGACTGAAGCCCACAACACAGAGTGCTCTTGTCCATGGATGAGGAGGACTGTAAAGAAGAGCGATCTATTGCCGACGAGTCGTCAAATAGGAGATGATACAATATTGATCGCCGATGATGGATCCGAGTTCCTTGTGGATGCCTCAATCGTATCAGAAAAGAGTGGAAAACTTGCATCAGCTCATCGCTTTATTGAAATGAACCGAAATGAAGAATCAGAAGGCCAAGTCATAAAGATAGAAGTGGCCATCCCACCTGACTTTTGTAAACTTCTAATCCAGCACATGTATCACGGTTCAATCTGTTTTGGATGGCCGAACTTACATAACCATGAAATGGGCAGATATTTGCTCGAATTGATGCTCGTCGCTGAAGAATTTCTAATTCCCTCTCTTGTCCAAGAAATAGAAATGAGGCTTTTGAGCTCGAACCCAAAAACCTGCTTTTGTTGGAACTGCTGCCAGGCGTTGCGTACGGTTACTTCAGATAGTGGTGAGCACAAGGCCCAATGCTTGTACTTGGTTGATGGCCATAGCTGCCTTGTAACACACGAAAATGCCACGGACATATTGGGTGTGACTGAGTACATAATGGGATTCGACTACACTTTATGTCTGGCTCCTACAATTCATAACATGTGCGTTGAACCGAGAAAACTCTGGGAAATGTATGACAACGGAATGGATAGCGACGAAACGAACTGTTGGAAAGTCAACAAGGCTGTTGTCTGTCTCAGAGATGTCGCAATTTGTGCCATGTTGAAAGAGTTTGGATCTGTTGTGAAACGTCCTGATTTCTATCTCCCCACTGAAGAGGTGTTGGATAAAGAATCTCAAAAACAGATTCTTCTCCAAATGTGCCTGGAGGAGTTACCGAAGAATTCGATCATTGCTGCTTCTTACCAAGAACCTATTCAAAAATTATCGCGTCAAACATCAAAAATCCATTAAGTTATAAAACGAGCAAACAGTTCTTGATACAGCAGCATAGAATTTCTTTTTGCAAATCATGTTCAGAATAAACGCTTAAGGCCTTGTTTCTTTTAATTATTGACCGCAAACACCATGCCGCGACTTGGATCCTTTTTCATCTTCAGCCTACGCCAGTGGCATAAACTTATGAGAATACTCTTATTTTTCTGTTCCGAAACCCCTAAGATGGTGCGCCCTTCTTCTTCAGTAAATTCTAAAGATTTAAGTTCTGAAGTAGAGTCTGAAAACTTTTTTTTGATTTCATTGAGCGCAGTGTTTGCTAGGTCTCGATCCACGTGAGTTCGAACGATTCTTGGTGCAGAATCAAATTCTGCCTCGGTTATGTGTAGAAAAGACAAATCTGAACATGCTTTTGAAATTGTTTTAGGCACAGGATCATCTCTCCCAAGAGTAGGAACCATAATTCCACTTGGAGTAACAGAGGCAGCAGTTGCACGCTCGTTAGTCCCGTCAATCTGTTGTATCGAATCTACTCCTTGAGTACATTGACCCAACGAGTCCGTCGGAAACGAAGGCATCCCTAAACTTTTATGAATTGACATATTTGTTTCATCCTTGGTATTGCGATTTAATGGGAGTGAAAAAGTCTTTCGATTTCCTAATTTAAGACGTGACTCATCTCCACGATTCCTTTCAAAAGAGCGATGGCGTAAAGGAGGAACAGAAATAGAGAAAGACGGTACACTTGACCGGAAAGGTTCTGGAGAATCAATAGCGGAGAGACTCGTCGAGATGTTTGGATGATTATTTTCATCTCTCACTATATTATTCGAATCATCTTCTTCCATAATTGCTGATTTTCTTTTGGGAAAGGGAGTTTTTCGGTACACCTTTCTATTTTGGTTTCGAGGAGTGGCAGTAGCCGAAGTTGAAGGTGATTTGAACGATGATTCATTGGATTCCTTTTTAGGTGTTTCAGCCCGAAGAATGGAATCAAGGGACGGGCTTAACTGTGCGATGGTTGGTAATTTTCCTTGTGTTGGAGTTGTTCTTCGCTTTTGATCAACGCGATGAGCACTACGCTTATTCGGGACAACCTTTACACTAAGTGAATTGCCATCTGAAGGATCCAAACGATACCTATCTAGCACTGGTGTGACAGTCGATAAGTTATCTAGTTCGTCATCAAAATCGAGCGTTTTGCTAGGTTCCTGAATGATGGCTTTTGTTTCACCGCTGCGTCTTTCTTGTCGTTCCATAAGGCTTACATCATATGTATCATTCATCATTGTGGCGTCCATGGTGATGTTGGTATGTGTGGGTGATGATGTTCCTGTTTCAACCAAAATATGTGTTGGACGCTCGTTGTGGTGTTTTTTCTTTTCACTACGCTGTCCTACAGATGTGAGAGGTCTATTCTCGGCGATCTGAGTCGCAACTACATTCGTGGAATCATCACTGTTGTTCGTAACAGATTCTTTTTCATCGTCTGTAGATGCCAACTCATCGTCTTCATAGACGGCTTTCATTGTATAGTGGTGCGATTGTGTCGTCATGTAGTTCTTACTACTCGTCGACGTATTTGAGCGCCTTCGTTCTTGCTGGTCTTCCTTTCCTTCCATCTCATAATACTCATCAGAAGGTCTTGATGTGTCTCCATCCTTTCTCACGTATCTTCGTGGAGATGGCGAGGCATCTAAAATTGTTTCCTCCACTCGCTCTAACATGTCCTCTATGCGTGTTAAAAAGTGTGATCGCTCATCTACCGTCGGTACGCTTCCGCTACCCATATTTCCAATGATAGGAGGACTGTAAGGATTATGAGTCTTAGTCATAGTTGATTGCGTGTCCAAAGTGATCATGTCATCCTCGTCTCGGAATTCGTGGAGATGTTGCTGCTGCTCTTCTTGCTGCTGCTGCGTATGGTACAGATGGTCATATTTTTCTTTATTCTCTCCTTCGTGTTCTATATGTTGCAAAAAGGTCGATGTACTTGTACTCATCGATAGATTATCAAGTGCAGGAGGTGTGATGGGAGACGTTCTACTGAAGGAGCTAGACTTTCGCTGGTTTGGTTCCATCTTCTTCCCGGCAGAGGCGGTKGGGGTTGCTAAAGCATGGCTATCACAATGGTCATCGCTCTCTAATGCACTTGAAATTTGATGCGATGACGACCAGGTCGGTGATTGCAAACATGATCCAGGTGTTGTTAGTCCGTCTGTTTCGTAATCCGCTTCCAATACACTTTCTAATGGTCCACCAACATTTGCAGTTAAGGGCCATGAAAATCTGTCGTTCGCGGCCCCTAACTTCAGTTGGTTATATCTTGGGTCAAGAGAGTGGTGGGTTGCCGACGATGCCGTTGCTATTTTGTCCGAAAAAAGCTGTGTTGTTTTTGGCGATGTTACCGTGTAGCCTTCAGATTCCAAACGTGATTTCAATATTTCTAGCTTTTCACGAGTGAACTCCTGAGTCAACCTGCAAAGCTCAGCAAGCTCAGTAATGGTCTTCGATTCTTTTGACGAAGGAAAAATACTTACCGTTGCACCCGCTATCTCTTTTTCTACTTTCTCGACTCGGTTGCTTTGAGATGCAAAGAAGGCTGCTGCGTTTAATTTTTTTTCCTCTACAAAATCGAAAGTAAAAGGAGCAAGGCAATAGTAACAACAACAACAACAACAACAACAACGTTAGAAAAAATAACGTGTAATTTTGTTGCAATTCGATAGAAATAATGTGCCGAGTTTTCTTTTTTACAATCGCACCTTTGGAACGAAAACAATCCTGAGATTTATCGTCGGGATCCGGTACCGTCAGCAGGTTTTCAAGCTTCGATTCAAGAGCACTCAGATTGGAAGCCTGATTCGCAAATGTAGCCATCTTTACTTCACAGATTGGACCTCGGCTAGGATTGTTCCGATTTGACTTTACTGTTTAACTTCCTCGATTTCTTGTTCGTTAAGTTTCGTTCCGATCCTGCACCGTCAACTCATTCAATACATATCTAGAACGTTGATTGAAATCAAGGCGTTCGCGATGCTCATTTCAAAAATGTCATGCCTTCCGCCTTTTCAAATTTATTCGAGCGAGCAGAGCGATGATTCGTTCCTCCAACCCAATCGACTCGATTAATCGGATTGGTCGGCGCTTTCGCAGCGATTCATTATTCCAGTTCATTCGATGCCAAAAGTGGGGGAGGCCGACGATCGTTTATGACTCATAGGAAAACATCATTTCGATGGATCTTCGACTCTCGGTTGTACAGCATTGGAAGTACGTACCGTACGTACTGTACGAGTTTAGTAACAGAACCAGTACAGCTACCGTACTCTTAGTAGTACGAATAAATACGTAATAGCCTAAGAAAAGTTGATTGGTCGATGAGGAGTCAGTCATGATTGATTTTTATTTCACGGCTACAATACGAAAGGATCAACAGATGAACCCTCCCTCTTTCCACAAAACATTAATAAACACTCAATTTGTCATATCTCAACCATCCAGCATCGCTCTGATAAGTTCAGAACAATTTCAACAATATTTTGTCTTCCGTTTGACAGTTGGTTCTCAACAGATATCTCAACAAATCTCTCCCTTGCCATCAACTAAAAATCGATAAGATACAAAGACAACCAGATTTTGTCTGAATAGGACAGATTAAGTTGAAATCGGCACCTCCATAGTTGATTTCAACAAAACTAAAGAAGTCGGTTCGCATTTATTCACCTGACCGCTAACATGAGCTCGTATGGAAGCATTAACATCAAGAATGAGAAAAAAATGCAATATGACGCCACCGACGAGAAAACATCTCTGCTTCCAAACGGAGAGACTATCATTTTCGAAAATGAGCAGCTGGCGGGAATTTGGTCAAAGCTGACATTTGGTTGGATGGAGCCTTTGATGCGATTGGGAAATGCGAAGAAAAAGCTCGACCCGGAAGACATCTCAAAAATACCCCTTCCCATTGATGGCCAAACCAAAAATTTGCAAGATGCTTTTCATAACTTTTGGGAGAAGGAACTGGCGAAAGCAAAGTCCAGTGGTGGAACAGTGGAACCGTCGCTGATGATGGCTCTTGCTAGAGCCTATGGTTTTGATTGCATCGTGGGTGGCTTTGTGTTGAAATTTATCCATGACTCGTGCGTCTTTGTGGGGCCTCAAGTTTTGAACAAAATGATACTGTTCTTGGAAAGTGACGAATATCCCTTATCATATGGTTTATGGTTGACCGCAGCCGTTACTCTCTCGCAGTTGACGATGTCTTTCTGTTTAAGGCATTACTTTTTCAAATGTTACAAATTTGGCTTGAAGATCCGAACGGCTGTAATGGTTGCAGTCTATGAAAAGGCCCTAGTCTTGGATGCAGGAGAACGATACACTAGGAGTCTTGGAGAGATCACCAACCTTATGTCCGTTGACGCGCAGCGACTGCAAGAACTCACAACTTACCTCCACGCAGTTTGGTTCAGCTTTTACCAAATAGGATTGGCGCTGTTTTTGTTGTGGAAACAATTGTAAGTTCTTCGTTGAAACTGTCTATTAGTTGCTACCTTCTACAAGGTTGATCATTCATTCTCGGACCACTGGATCTCATCTGTGATTCACTCTCTACGACCTTCTTTTGCAGAGGCCCAAGTGCATTGGCTGGGTTGGCTGTTATCTGCATTATGATACCCGTGACCAAAGCCGTAGCGAAGGTATGCCATTTCTGTCTGTGGTAGCACTTGCTTTCTTGTAAACTTAAGAGTCTCGTCATTTGATGACGGAAATGTTGCTCAATTTTATTGTATCGTTGCCTTTCGTAGATCATGGGTCGGTTGCAAAAAAAACTTATGGGGAGTAAGGATGAGCGCGTTGATGTAAATAGCGAAGTATTAGGTGCGATGAAGGTTGTCAAGCTTCAGGCTTGGGAAGGCCCCTTTATTGATCGCATCATAAATCTGCGAGAGAAAGAACTCAAGGATTTGCTTATCTATGTCTACGCAAGTTGTGTCTCTGTAATGCTTTGGTCGGCCGTCCCATTGGCAGTTTCGTTGTCTACTTTTGCCGCTTACGTGTGGCTAGGGAATGATCTTGACGTTGCGACGGCGTTAACCTCGGTTGCTCTTTTCGAAATATTGCGTTTCCCACTTTTTATGCTTCCACAAATCATCAATCGTATTGTCGAGGCGGGAGTTTCAATGAAGCGGGTCCGATCCTTTTTGTTATGTGACGAATATAAACGCGTCGGAGAAGGTGATTTGAAGGAGGATGGAAACGTGCGCATGTCCACTTTGACTGCTGTTTACGAAAGTTTGAAGCCACAACTTAGAGAAGGAAGCGAAGGAGAAGACATCACACCGATGAAGAAAGTGGTCGCTGAAAAAAACTGGGAAATTTCTTTGCTACAGTCGCAGCTAGAAGAGGCAGAACTGAAAATCAAGCAACTTACTGAAAAACGCAACAATGACGACGGAAAACAGCCGAATGGGCAAGACACTATGGAGGATCCCGAATCTGTCGCTTCTCTATCAGCCAACATGTTATGCTTGAAACGTGTCAATTTTGAGTGCAAACCTGGTGAATTGATCGCAGTTATTGGAGGAGTGGGAAGTGGAAAATCTTCGTTGCTGAATGGTATTTTAGGCGAACTCCGATTTCTCTCAGGAAAGACAGAAGTGAAAGGAAACCTAGCATTTTTTTCGCAGAATCCTTTCATTATGAACGCAACAGTCAAGGCCAACATTCTCTTCAGTCATGCTAATGAACCCGTAAACGAAGAAAAATATCAACGTGCCATCGAATGCTGCGCTCTGAAACATGACTTGGAAATGTTACCTGCTGGTGACCAAACAGAGATTGGTGAAAAGGGAATCACGCTAAGGTGGGTACAAGCAAACGTATTTTGTGTGCTGTGAATGGCCGACTGTATCATATGATTGTAACATGCCGAATGATTGTATGTGAAAAACCGATATCTAATTGTTGCCGAAATTTCTATTTGCTCTCAGTGGAGGACAGAAAGCAAGAGTGGCCCTCGCTCGAGCGGTATATCATGATTCTGATATATCTTTGATAGATGATGCTCTCAGCGCTGTTGATGCTCACGTTGCAAAACATCTATTTGACGAGTGTATCACAAAAGATCTTTTAAGTGGTGAAGGGAAACGCTTCAAGAAGAGATCAGTCATTCTAGCTACCAATGCTTTACAACATTTGAACCACCCCCGGGTTGATAAAATTGTTGTGCTGCGAGAAGGTCGCATCGTAGAACAAGGGTCGTATAAAGAACTCTCCGAAGACAGCTCCTCAGAATTTTCTAGATTTCTGTCTGTGATTGACAAGACTGGTGTAAAGCCTTCCGTGGTAGAAAAGACTATCGAAGAGATCGAAGATGATATCGTCGGACTTCCTGGTGATATTGTCGCTAGTGTGCGAAAGTCGGAAAGGAGTGAAAGTTCTAAGAAAGACAAGTCAACGTTGATGACCATTGAAGAGCGATCTACGGGTCGCGTCGGAATCGATGTGTAAGTTATTTTTGTGAACATTTCATATTTTATCAGAAATGTCTGATTTAATTTTTCGCCTTAACTTTTTGGCCTTCAGCTATTTCTATTGGGCACGGGCTGCGGGAGGCATATGGGTTCCACTTGCTATTGTTCTTGCATTCGCTGCCGTTGAGTGTATTGGCGTTCTTTCGAAATGGTGGCTGACATATTGGAGTACACACGGGGCCGAACACGATCAGATGTATTTCTTAGGTATTTATGGCGTCATTAACTTGGCCAATATCGTTGGTATTTTTCTGAGACTCATGTTTGTCATGATGACTGGATTGCGTGCTTCTAGGAAGGTGAGTGAATGGCAAGGTTTTCTCCGCTTTACTTCCTTGTAACTTTGTATCAATTGTACTAAACTAACTCGTTCTCAACTTATTTTCTTTCCTCGAATCCTCTCATATAGATCTATTTGGGATTACTCCAAGTTATCATGCATGCTCCCATGTCCTTTTTTGACACAACACCCGTCGGTCGAATCATCAATCGATTTAGCCAAGACATGTACACAATCGATAGTAACCTCGTGACTTCCATGAGAAGTTACATTAGTACGCTTTTAAGCGTTGTGAGCGCCCTTGTTGTGAACACAGGTGTTTCACCAGCCTTCACAATCAGTATTATTCCATTGATATTTTACTACGCAGCGCAACAGAGGTTCTTTACGGTAAGCACTACAATTGCACAATGATTTGCTCTTTTTGTAACCGTTCATCTAATATCCACGACTTGCAACTTTCAACAGATGACGTATCGAGAATTGAAACGTCTCGATTCTGTAAGCAGGAGCCCAATTTATGCGTTATTGGGAGAGACTATAGATGGAGTAGCAACAATTAGGGCGCACGATGGAGAGGAATCTCTTATGCGACGACTCCAGAAAATGCTTGATGTTCAGCAAAATGCTTATTACTTGCTCTGCGTGGCACAGTGCTGGCTTGCCATTCGGCTTGAACTTGTCGGGACTCTGGTAATTACACTTGCTTGCTTGTTTCCGGTCTGGCACCACGCATTTTATGGAGCCGATCCCAATTTCGCTGGTTTGGCCGGACTTGCCATTTCGTATGCCCTGTCTATTACACAGGCACTGAATTGGTCGGTAAGGATGGCGAGTGATCTGGAAGCAAGCATGGTCTCTGTAGAGAGAGTCCGTTCGTATTGTAAGGTCGAAACCGAAGCATCGCTTGATGTTGGTGGAGATAAGCAACTTCCCGAGTCGTGGCCTTCGGGGGGCAGCATTGTATTTGACAATGCGTCGCTGCGCTATCGTCCAGGCCTCCCACGAGTCTTGAAAGGATTGGACATTGAGTTCCCAAAACGCAGCAAAATTGGGGTCGTTGGACGAACAGGTGCCGGGAAGTCAACTCTTATGGTTTCTCTTCTGCGCATTGTAGAACTGGACGCGGGAAAGATCTTTATCGATGGTCATGATACCCGAAACATCGGCCTCACTAAACTAAGGTCGAATATTGCTGTCATTCCACAGGATCCCGTGCTATTCTCTGGTACCATCCGAAGTAATTTAGATCCATTTGGCGACTTTCCGGATGACGAGATCTTCACCGTGCTGACTCGAGTAGGCTTGTTTACAGATATCAGGGGGTCTACTTCCACCCAGAGTTTGTCGTCTCTGGGGCTCAGCCAGGTCAATTCGTTAAATGACAGCGTGAAGGAGGGTGGATCAAATTTCTCTGTCGGGCAGCGACAACTCCTAGTGATTGCCCGGGCCTTGCTTTCCGGTGCATCTATTGTCATCATGGACGAAGCCACCGCTGCGGTCGATGCTGACACGGACGCGAGGATTCAAAAGGTGATGCGTTCCGAGTTTGCCGATGCCACCTGCATCACGATCGCTCATCGCATCAACACCATCATGGATTCCGATTTCATCCTGGTCATGGACAAGGGCCAGGCCGCCGAATTTGACACGCCTAAAAATCTGATTGCGAAGGGAGGAATGTTCCGTGATCTCGTGCAAGCGGCCTCGCACAAAAATTAAGCACACCACAAGTTGAAAGGAGACGATGCTATCGTTGGGCGATCAAATCCTGTACAGCCAAGATATTTCGCCTATCGTAGAAAGAGAACACGATCTTAAGTAAACTGTTTTGCCTTATATGATAATAATATCCTTTTTTTGCCTCATCGTCGTAAAATCTTGTTTTTCAAATTTTGTTGCAAATGAGATTTTTTACACATTATGTACGGACGGACGGATCGTACTCGTATTCATGCAAACAAATCGATTTCGTGGGAGTTTTTTTGTTTTTGGGTTGGGAGCTGGAAAGTGTTTTCTTGTGAAACATGGTGGCATTACTTTTGATATAAGGTACCGACAGACCAAAAATTTATTGCATTTATGAAAGTCTGTTGTAAGATTCAAGAGAAAGCCTGTCAGAATCTTAGTAAGACAGGACTCAACAAAATTAAGACTCAGCTATCCTAAACAAAAACAACTCTATCAAGTGCCTCGTCCTTTCTTAACTATGGCCCTACATTAATAATGTCCCAATCACCAGTGCTCTTAGTTAGTACATTCTATTTCCTCTCTTAATTGCAGCAAACAGGAGACCAGGAGGAGGACCCTGGTGACTGCAAAGAGGCAGCTCAATGCCCAATCCTACACACTATTTTTGATAAGATGAAGAAAACTGCTGGCAACACCACTGCTGGCAACACTGGCCACAAGTCAGGTGTAACAAACTACTCCAAGGATGAGCTTACGGGTCTTATGGGATTGATACTGAAGAAACTCCCCATTTGTGCAGATGGTTGGGATGACATTGTGACAAACCATGAAGCAAGTTGGCCCTTCTTTAGAAGCCAGAATCCATCAGGACTAAGTATGCTGCTGTGAAGAGGATTAAGAGCTCAACTGGAAATCCAAACATATCAGAGTGTGTGAAGATGACATGCAAGGCCCACATCTTGATTGGTCAAAAGGAGGCAAATCTTGTTACTGGAGAGGAGGACTTTGATCTGGAGCAAGCCTTCATTAAGAGTGAGGCTGGGGAGGTTTTAAAGCCCCCACCTGAAGCACCAACTGGAGGATCCATGGAACGCAATGTTGATGACAATGCTGGAGGGGCGTCAACTGTTTTTGCTGATGGAGGAGCATCAACTGCTAGTGGAGGTATATCCACTGTCCTTGCTGAAGGAGCATCAACTTCTGCTGGAGGAGTACCACCATTGTCATTTACCTCCATGATGACACCATCTCTCATAGAATCCACTCCTACTCCCAAGAAGAGATCATATCAGTAGAAGAATCCCAGTGTTTGAGATGCTGCTGCCTTCATTGAGTACCCCACCTTCTTCTCAGTCTGTCCGTTAAATTTTTGATTCTTGTTCTTAAATATTCTAAGGACCACGCCAGGACCACGCCAGGACCACGCAGCGATCTTTACACTTATGGTCCTGCAGTCCTGGGGTAAAATTTTTGGGTTATTTTTGTACTGTGACATCATGCTTGTTTTTCACATCTATAATTCAAGTCATACTAACTTTTTAATCACCATGTGTTCCACTGATATGATCTGCAATCACATCAGTATTGGTGCAGATTGATCACAAGGGGAAACTTTTGTAGACACTAAATAAGGATGCTGGATACAGATGCCAAACACTGAATATGGACGCTGGATACAGACACTAGGATGCTGAATACGGTTGCTGAGTATGAAGGTTGCTGAATATAGACGCTAAATACTATGGACACTGGATACAGATGCTGGATACGAATGCTGGCTACAGACACTGGCTATGGACACTGGATACAGATGCTGTGGGCAGACACTGAATACTACAGATGCTGAATACCAGGTTGCTTATACAGACGCTGGATACAGACGCTGGATACAGACACTGGATACAGACACTGGTTACGGACACTGGATACGGACACTGGATACGGACACTAGATACAATTGCTGAATGTGGGTGCTGAATATGGATGCTGGATACGGACGCTGGATAAGGACACTATAAATATGCTGGTGGATATGGACACTGGCTGAACACTGAATACAGGCACTGAATAAGGAAGCTGGATACAGACACTGAAAAAGGACCCTGAATAACAAGCAAGCTGGATACGGGCGCTGCGGACGCTGGATATGGATAGTGGTGATGTAATCAAGAAAGGTTAGCAGTACTGTACTACTAGTAGACTGTAATCCTAGACCATAATTGTAGACTGTAATCAACTGTATTCAGTGTCCTCAATGTTAGTATCAGCAACTTGTATTGTACTGCTGTCAGCAACTTGTTGTATCACCATCATCCTCTGTACAGTGTGTACTAGCTACTATGAGTATGAGTGTCTGTTTCCCTACCATAGTGGTGCAGTGCCATTGTTAGCAGCATTGTACATACATAGCTATCCTACTATATGGTATATATTTGGTGGTTTATTTAAGAAGGCATGGTCCTGGACCAAACAGTACTACCATGCACGTAGAAAAGTACTTGGTCCTGGTCCTACAGCAATATAATAACTAATATTATCAAAGTAGTACTAGTAATAGATGTGCTACTAAATCTGTGGGTTTAGCAATTCTATTACTAACAGGAATGGGTCATTCCTGATGGAAGAATTTGCATGACCACCTTTAACTACCCTGGATCTTAGCATGACAGTACCATGGCTGATTATGGCATACATGACAAAACGGAAGCCATATAAAGGAATGGGGGGAGAATTGTGGTGGATTCTGCATTTGAGGTGAAAGGCACTGATTATCTTATTCAGAGCCAGCAGAGAAATGACCCTGATACTTTGATAACATTGAAGAGAACACCCAGGCTATGGTAAACAATAGGCAAGCAACTGCGGTCTGGGAGTGGGGCATGCAAATGATTCAAGGGCAATTCCTCCCACTAATGAACAAGGAGCAGCTTGTTACCTTGGAAATAGGAAAATCATTCTTAATCTCTTGTTGTTGTTGTATAATTATCAATGCAGCACATTGGACATTAATCAGATTCTCAACACCTTCATGAGTGATACCAATGGCTTTGAATCCTATGAAGAGATGAGGGACTCATATGGGGGGAAACACCAAGTACTAGTAGGATACTTCTTCTCCTATGAGAGTGACCCTGTTGGGGATGCTAATGCAGCATTCCAATTCTTTGATTGATGATACATAAAAAGAGCCGGGAAGTCTCAAATTTACATATTTTGATGTATGGGAAAAATAACCCAATGTCCCATGATGTGTCACTGTTCACACATATCTTATGTAGATAGATGGGGTATGCTCCTATGGTATACTGCACCTTTGCGGTCATCCAAGCATTTCGTGCAGTTTCACACCGTAAAACTTCGTACCCCTTCACTCACTACCCTTACTTCACAGCTACCGACCGTGAAACGTAGAAAAAGGGGGGGGGAATTCTAGTACCTATGCGTACGGTACCAAGCACTACGCACTCACTCTTAACGCATCCATGATCCGCGGGCGGGAGGGAAACGACACATACTTTTTGTACAGGCAAAAAGTGCGAGTGCAAGCACGAGCATTCTTGATTCCTTCAGGGCGCTTCTGAGAAAGCCTTTGCTGTTGTTGCAAGCACATCAAAGCACGAAAAACGAAGGTCGAACTAACCAATTCCAACGCCAATCTATCGCATCGCAATTCTCGAAGAAGCAGCCCACGCCGACTCTTTCCTGCAACCACATGCCACAGGATCCTCCGAAAAGAATCATTCATTCATTCGCACGGTACCAGCAACAACGTTAAGTCATCATGCAATCGATAGGCAGTGCGCCTTCCATCGGGGATGCAAACTCGAGATCGGACTCGAATGCCAAGACTAACCCGAATTCCAGTTACAGCAGTCACGACGACCACATCACCACACCAGAAGCCGGAACACGGAGCGGCCCTGGAAGCCTGGAAGGCGAGGGCAGCAGCCACGGCAACCTCGGAACGCCGTTCTTTGCCGACATGACCCTGGACATTTCGGTCGCCCACGACATTGCCGAAACGCCAGAGGCCGTAGCCCGGGCAACCATGGACCACAACACCTCGGCGGGCTTGCTTTCCGACGTTCCCTCCATGCCGCCCCTCCCAGAATTCCAGCATGAGCAGCTGCAATCGCAGCCGGGGAGGCAGTCGTCGTCCTTGTCGCAACGGCCCGAAGAGCCTTTTGTGCCATCGAAGTTGGTGTACAGCAATGGGAGCAGTGATGCACCCCTTGACCACCACCGGCAACAACAAACACCGCTTGAGAAATCCGAACCCCGTAGCCTCTCACCAGAGGAACACTTCGACTCGAATCACTTTGACGAGGAAGACGAGGACGACCATCAAATCATGGCCCGTGTCACGTCTTCGAACCATACCCGGGGCGGAAGGTTCCGTCCCTTCGGGAACAGCAATGGGAACTGGCGCAATCGGCTCAGAAGAAAGCAATGGCCCAAGGATATCTCGTGGGCCGTTGCCTTTTGGATGATAGTTCCGGTCGGACTCCTCGTGCCATTGATCTGGTACGGTGGCAGCAACGGAAATGCCGGCGCCACGACTAGTTCTTCGTCCTCAGAAACACTGTGGCTGGCCGCGGCAATGTCTCCCCGATCGGCCACTCTCCACACACTGGCCTGGGGAGTCATCGTGGCGGCCCTTATCTTGCCTCGGTTGCTCTATCGTACCTCGGGGGGTGTCGGGCAGGGAGACGACGCGCGGCACTTCGCCTCCCAGTTGCTGCTGGTGTCGGCCCCCGTTTCCGCCTGTGTCTACCTGGGATTGCTGGTGGGAATCTACGTGATGCTCCCGAACGCCTTCTGGCCCTTTGGGCTGATCCCCCTGTGGTATCTCTCCCGCGATTTGTACCTCTTTCGCCGCTGGAAAATGACCTCGACCATCCCTGGGGGGCGGCAGGCCTTTTTCCAGGCACTCGCCTGCGCGGCGCTCGACATCTTGTCGCGGTCACTGAAGCGAAAGGTCTTTTACCGGGCCGTAGTCATCGTCATCCTCGGACAGTTTGGGGTGATTTCGCTCTGGAGGTTGTCCCTCATGGCGGCCCTGCGATCGGGCAGCGTGGTATGGGCGGCGATTGCCTTCGTGGGAGGGAAATGGGCGACGGGAACTGTGGCACGGTTGCTAACCCTAACAGCCTGTGGCGGAGTCTCCAACTGGTTTGCGGAGCAAACGTCGCTGATTGAGGGAATGGGCCAAATGGAAGGACGCCGGGAGAGACGGCATCAGGAAGACAGGGACGAAACCATCGAGTTTACCAGTATTTCCTCCAAGGACCAGTACGACGCATCAAACAGCAGCGTCCACAATACCACAGCACAAAATTCAATCGAGGACAGCATGCCGGAAGCATATCGGATGGCGGATGCGTCTCAGTACGCACCCGCGGTAAATGTAGGCGTGGACGGCGATTTCGAAAGCGACGACGACGAAGATAGCGACGACGAAGAAAACTACGCCGGATTTTTGAACGATAGCGCACGGCGCACGACGACCCAGTTGTACTCGCAGCGGCGACAGAGAGAGCGGCATCAGCGCAGGGAGCGCAGGGATGCCCGGTCGTCCACCGTCCACCAGCTCATGGGATCCGCACTGTCGGTGAGTTTTGGGTCGGTGACCAAGTGTGGACTTCTAGGGGGTCTTGCCCAGTTTGTATGGAGCCAGATCCGTAAGATCGACCACGCCCGGGAAACCCTCGGGGGAATGCGGGGGATGCCTGTTGGGGATCCATCGTCGTCGCCGTCGCCCCATCCCAGCCGGGTGATTATGCAACGAATCAATGCCATTGCGCGGGATTTTGTGCGCACGCACTCCGACATGGCCATGAGCTACGTCGCTGACTATCAGATGTCGTACACACGGGCCGCTCAGGAGGTCGCGATATTGGTTGACGAGGCCGGCGTCGAACCCATCATCCACGACGACATATCGACGCACATGAGCTCATGCGTCGGGGGAAGTGTTTCCGGGATCATCATCTTGTTCACCGGGCCGATTCTGGTTCACCAGCGAAATCGGTTCGATCCCGAGGTTCCGGATTCTGCTGTGGCGCTGGACATGGTCATTGCGTTTTTCTTTTGCTACACGCTGATTTTCACCGTCATGGAACCTCTGCGGGCGTCGATCAAAGCCGTGTACGTCTGCTTTGCCCAGCACCCGGAAGCTCTCAGCCAGGCCTTTCCTCTTATATACCATCGACTGACCCGCATGTCTCGATCGAATCTTCAATAAGAAATCGACACGGCAGTGCAAAACTCTATGTTCCAGAAGTAGGTTTTTTGTTTTTTCATAAACAATTTGATTCCTGCAACGACGAAAAAGAAGAGATAAAAAAATGCTACCAACAACAATAGAAGACTCAAAACACTGTATCAAATAGATCGACACCCCACTAATTGATTATCCTTCGAAGATGCGTTGGAGATTATGGCAAATAGTTAGTACTCTAATAAATTGCATCGCTGAGCGAGCGCGTTGTCGTATTTGGGTGGCCTCGGAATCGTGTGCTGTACTGTAAAAATCACCGTTGCATGATTCGCATCCCAGAAAAACCTTTTCGTTGGAATGTTAAGAGCAATATCTGCGGCCGCATAGCTAATACAAATGTGCAGCGATTCTATAATCTACTCGGTATTCTTTGACATGCAACCACTTCGCTATGAAAACGAATCTCAAGTCGTAGGAGATGCGAACAGTTTTTCAAAGGTAGTGGAATAGAGTCGTTTGCGATTGTCATTTTCCTTCTTACTCTCCGTTCCTTTTTCTGCGAACATCTGGTTGGTTGTCTCTATCATATCGCAAGCCTGAGTCTCGGATATTGCAATATCATTGTACTGTCGTATCTGATGTTTCCCCGATGTTAAATTCCCCACCCTATCCCCTAGGCGTATCAAATCTGATGAATCTAAATATCCTTTTCCATTCCCATCTATCAGTTTGAATGTCCTTTGAGCGAACGTATTTGAATGATTTTTTTCTGAAAGCGAAGGATGCTACGACAAGGTTTTAGGTTGAAAAATAGTTCAACAAAATAGGTAAGCTAACGAATATCTGTCGAGCATAGGAGAATATCCATCGCGAAATGCACGCACCGTAGCAACGATAGTCAACAACGTCTCCAATTTTATCCCGGACTCAAAATCTGCCTCGTCGTAGTCTTCACAGTCTGCCCTTTCGATTCGTCTTGCACTTTTTTCCAGTGTGGTCAGAGTAAAGTCGTCTTTTCTTTTGTAATCGGACATATACCCCAGACCTAACAAGAGCGTATAAGCCAGGTCAACCCCGATGCGTCCAGTCTTGCTTGTGTCCAAGGCCTCGAAAGATTCTATGATGTCGTGCCTGTTTGAATCGTTATCATCGTTTATTGTAAATTTCACCATTGTTTCCCTTCACATCAAGCTCTTGGGCTAGGCGTTGCTCAGTCCAACTCAATCCCTGCACTGTACCCCCAGTCAATATTTCAAGATGAACCAGCGGAGTCGACTTTGTGTGAAGACCGACGCCACTTCCAAGCGTATGGTACTCGTACGAGTACGAGTACCCAGCACTGGTTACCGTACTTTTACCAAAGGTGCTTTTCATTTTTTATGGGGTCGATGATTGATTCATTCGATTCATTCCTCCAAGTAGCCAAATTGAATAGAGATTAAGCCCCAGATGAAAAATACTTAATAACAGTAAAAATCAAGGAGTCGTGCAATTGAAAATCAACTGAATGGACCGGTAGATTGAGGATGGCGAAGAGTGATGACACTCGACTCGTGCTTGTAGACGGGATGTACAGTGCAGTATCGTAAGTAGTAGAAGTACATTGTACGTACCGTTCTAATGTTCAATTTTGAGGGTATCTTCAACCAGTTCCCAAAAACTTCTCTTCCCGTACGGTATTTTTTTATTCTTTGTCATCTGATGTCTTCGCTGATACATTTCCCGGATCGAATCATTTGCTTCACCATCGAATGCAACTATAAACTGCACAATAATGATCAAGCAAGACCATCTCTAGTTGCATAACTTGAAACTTAGAATCTGAAAAAATAATTACTAATCTGCTACAGCAACAGATACAAATAGAAAACAATATATCCAAAAGGAATTCTGCGTCTCTATCTACAGTAATTCTTCAATAAATCAACAAAAAAACTATGTCGTTTGTGACATGCAGCACTAGGGTTCGAATTGCACGTGCCATCGGAAAGAGATTTTCTGCTGCAATCAAATCAACAAGCCGGTCCCAGACGAAAGCGACCAACCTGCGGTATATTTCGTCGACTTCGACCCTTCACGATGGCGAATTGGCCGAAGTATGCAATGCCAACGTAGTTTCGAGTCCTTTTCCTCCAATCAATCCAGAATCTTGGGACATGCCATTGCCAGATTTTCTCATGTCGTCGTGGAAGAAGAAAAGTGAAGTAGCTTCGGGTACTGCAAATCTGCTTAACGACAACCTTGCTATATTCGACGGCAGCACCGGCATGAAACGGACATTCGCAGATTACTACAAGGACACGAGCGGAATCGCTGGATCTCTCCGATACGATTTCGATGTCGATGAAACCAGTTGCGTTTGTTTGTTTGCTCCAAATCACGTCGACTATTTGCCGGTCACCCTCGCGGTTGGCTTAACGGGTGCCAAAATCACACCTGTGAATCCACTCTACAAAAGCAATGAACTACTAGTTGTTTTGGACAAGAGCAGGACTTCCGTCCTGATTGCACACAAAAGCAATCTAGATGTTGCACTAGAGGCTGCAAAAGATGCAAAGCACGTCAAACATATTCTTGTAATGACCGAAGACGGCGAGAGTGCTCAGGGTGGTATTGAGAGCTTGGAATCCATCAAGCGACATAGCCAGAGCTTCGATAAGACGAGTGATTGCTACGACTGTGCTGCAACGACACACCCCTACTTGTTGCCTTATTCTTCCGGAACAACTGGTCTCCCTAAAGGCGTTTGTCTATCGCATGCAAATCTCACTGCGAATATTCTTCAGATGGAGGAGGTAGAAGGTCCGTACGTGGGGCCAGAAGATGGTTTGTTTTCTCCGTTACCATTTTTTCATATTTACGGAATGGTAGTTTCCATGATGTATTACGGGTGGAAGGATCTTCCCATCCTCACAATCTCAGGACGTTTCGATTTCGAACTAATGTTAGAGATGATACAAAAGTATCGACCCTCAAATGCTCACCTGGTCCCGCCGATAATTCTTGCGCTGGGAAAAAGCCCCCTGGTAGATCAATACGATTTGTCCTCGTTGCGAACAATTATGTCTGCGGCCTCACCGCTGGGATCTGATACAGAAAGCGCCGTTCAGAAGCGACTCGGCTGTCAGCTCAAGCAGGCGTGGGGGATGAGTGAACTAAGCCCGATTGGAACGATGAACGCCTCGGCGCCAGACATTCCGGTCGGAAGTGTAGGACCGTTGGTATCGAACACATTCGGTAAGGTGTTGGACAGTGATGGTAGATCTCTGGGGCCCAACAAAGAAGGAGAACTTATCATCAAGGGCCCACAAGTCATGATGGGATATCTCGATGAGCCCGAAAAAACCAAAGAATGTCTTAGCAGCACGGGGTGGCTTCGAACCGGTGACCTAGCTTACTACGACGAAGATGGTTATTTCTTCATTACCGATCGCATCAAGGAACTCATTAAAACACGAGGCTTTCAGGTAGCTCCAGCGGAGCTCGAAGATTTGTTGCTGGGGCACGAAGACGTGAATGATGTCGCTGTGATTCAGATTCCGGACGAAGAAAGTGGGGAGTTACCACGAGCGTATATTGTTTTGAAGGATGGATCCGACGAGGAAAAACACGAGGAGACGAAGAGCGATATATATGAATGGGTGAAAGAAAGAGTAGCTCCTTACAAACGATTGGATGGTGGCATAGTCTTCGTGGATTCGATACCGAAGTCCGCCAGCGGTAAGATTCTTCGACGCATTCTAAGAGACGAGCTCGCAGAACAAATGAAGGAATAAACCATCGTACAAAGCGGCTGTCTCTCCGGGAGAAACATGATTGTTTTTACACTGGTCATAGTTGTTTTGTAATAAAAAAGTAACAGCTACAAAATTTGGAATGTTTCGAGTACTTAGTTTACTTCTATCATTAATTTTAGTTCTTCCTAAATATGGTTTTGTTTGCACCGAAATGGTTGAAATAAGCTTGATATTTGGGGTTCTATGGATCAAAGTCTAGTAGCAATTTAATGCACATAGATAGCAAGGTCAGAATGGCCCACCAATATTGTTGTCATGCAAATATCATTTTACTGGTTAGCAGTAAAAAGATTTCATCAGTCATCAAAGAACTGCTGCAAGAATACTTTGATACAGCAATAATAGTGAAGAGTGAAGAAGCATTTATTATGCTGTAATTGTTGTTCGTTTGCAAAGCAACTTGGTTCCCACATTCTTGTTCAAAAGAGGCCCCAGTCAATTACTAGAATTGATCAATAAGAAAAACCTGGGAAGGAATCAAGAAGGAGGACTATTCAAATTACCAAAATATTGTTGGGCTTATTTCCATTGTAAACATTTTACATATTATGGGATGAAATACAATCTAGTAGTGTCAGTAGCAATGATGTTGTATCCAGCCTTTTCTCAAAGAAGTACATACTGTACATCAGGGGTCAAAAGTTTAGATTTTATGTCCCTTGCTGTACCAGGTAATATATGATAAATAAGTGGTGTCTTTGGGAACCAAAAGGATGCTTTTGAGGTATCTTCTTAGAACTACTACTAGTAGCAGTCTAGTGCTAAAGTTACACTTTACTTAGAGGTGGCCAAATTTGCAATAATTTTGGTTGTAATTTTATATCAAATTAACTGGTAGTAATTTAAAGCATCAATCTTGAACTGATGGACCACTTTACATGAAGATTGGATCATGGGGAACCAGATGGAGATCATCAATATTTCAGTGATAAGATCTTTACACACAACGAGCTGAGCCATCTAAAGCCTGTTGATATCTACAAGTTCTTTGCAAAGAAAGTGTATAGACGTTATGATCCAGAGGATGCCAATGATAATCCTACTGGAGGAAGAGCTTCATCCCTGGTCTACTACTATAAGAATGCCCTCTCCTATTTCATGCCTAATAAGCTACATAAATGGATTGTGATTCAAGGTGTCCAAAGTGACAATCCTATGAAGTCACAGGAAGTGAATGATCTATTTGCAGCTGTTATCAACAAGGAAAGAAGAGGACTTGGAATTGAAAGCAAGAACATGGATCAACCACTAACAAAAAAGGAGTTCTTGCAGACACTAGAGTTAATGGGGCACCATAGAATCCTGATCAATAGACTCCAATATCTAGCAATGATCAAGTTCCAGTTATGTTAGGGAGGAAAGTGATTGTCCAAGACAGATCCTGCTAGGATTCATGGATCACAGATCTTGTGTGGTACTCAGTCTTGCTCTATTCATGGAGAAATGGTGTCAATCAGGCACCAGAGCATCTAGTCAGTGGTTGTTCACTAAAGGCATTACTGATAGTAGGAGATCAACTGTTCTTGCTGCTATGGACAAAGAAAAAAAACAAGGGCAAGAACAACTATTCTAATTTTTTGAAGCGCTGTGCCTTTCAGAATGAGGTCTTTGTTGCTGAAAGACCAGAGGTGGAAGGAAAGCTTGGTACTCATTCAAGAATTAGAAAGATAGCAACAACCTATGCGAGACAGTGTGGAGGGACAAGAGATTATGTTAATTATAGAGCTAGATGGAAGTTGTGTTGGCAACAGGATTGATACACAGATACACAGCTTGCTTGGCATAATATTTATATTGCATGGAAGCTCTGCTTTGGAGGTATCTGGTACTACAAGGCAGTGGAAGGAACCTTGGTTAGTACAGATGAGTGGATTTGTTCTGCAGTAACACTAGCAATTGCTAAGGTCTTTGGGGATCAAGTACCAGCAATCCTTGGCAAGGTGTTGCTTTTGGCTCGTCACATTGCTTCTTTGTGCCAGCAATGGAAGCCACCAGTGGTTTATTGCCAGATTTTTCATGTCCAGCTTACTACTAGTAGTAGCTTACAGCAAGGAGCAAATAGAAGGATGGATGATGATAATATCAAGCCTATTAAAAGAGTGGAGATCATTGCTAACAAAATAGGAGGGCAAGTGCACTTTGATGAGTTAGGAGCTTATCCTGATGGGAGTGCTCCTGGTGGAGGCAGCAGTGTTGGCATTAGAAGGAACCACTTGCAACGGACTGCTGCAATGTTCTCTAAGCTTTTCTCTACTGCAAATCAAATTAATGATATCAAGAACAGGCAAATAGCTGTTGAAGCTGCATTAACCAGGAAGCTCAATCAAGCCATATTGTTGTCTCAACAGGCTGTAATTGCTCTGGCTGTTTGTCAATGACCAGCACCAGGAAGGATAGCAACTGGCACTGCAGTATCAACTGGAACTGATGAGGGTCCTGCAGAGCTGGTTAGCTGTCCTTGTGATCTTCATGTCCTTTGGAATGAAAGGAATGAATGGCCCTGATAAGTGGGTGTTGGTCCAACAAACAAGCCTTTGAAGGACTTTACTGCTGCTGAGAGAGGTCATGTGAAGAGCAAGTGCTGCAGGAGGAACTTTGGAACTGTGTGGAAAGACTCATCAGCACTGGTGGTTCTACTTCTGATGCAGCAATCTGTAGGATCTATGGTGTCTATGGTGGCCCAGGGAAGTGCGTCTCAGCTAGTAGTATCCTCAAAGTTATGAGACATCACCATGAAGCTCACAGAGGCCACCACTTGCTTTGCGGAACAGAGTTTTCTGGTGATTGACAGCAGTAGTAGTAGCTGTGTCATTGTATTCCTTGTTCTTTGTTGTGTGTTTTGTTTTTCTTACTACTTGCCCCC